GTTACACTTTCAAGTTGAAAGTAAGAGTTGTCACAAGAGAGTCACAAATATATAGTTTTATTTTTAAAAAAGGCTCAGACATGTTTTAAAACAGCTGCACACTGTAGTTTTTATCAAACATGACTCAAACAGGAGGCAACAGTGTATTTGTTGGGGACTTTTTCAGCTGCGGATTAAAATATATTTGGTGTTTTAGTGAGTATTTGGGGCCACAGGATGGCGTATGTGGGATTGAGTAAAAATAAGCTACAGTGTGTGTGTTCATGGTAATGAAGGGACATGTCACCCAGGGCAACAGTGTGTCTCACTGATGTGTTTTTAATAGTTTTTGTCAAAACATTGGAGCTCTATGGCACAGAGGAAGAAGATATATCAGGCTCTATGTACACACACAATACTAGGTAGATATATTCATTGTTGGTTATGGACTATTTATGTGACTTGTGCTCTATGAAAAATGTTCACAAAAGTATCCTCAGCCTGATGCTGTAAAATATGTTTCTGTGTGTGTGAGGGGATGTCTATAAACTTCAGAGGAGACATTTTGGCTGAGCAAAGGAAACAAATTTGTGGTAAACCCCTCAAGCAGGCAGTGACATCACCTAACCTGCAGTCTCCATGACGTAATGATAAACGTGACTCCACTCCATGCTTCACACACACACACACACACACACACACACACACACACACAAAGAGCCTCTGCTCCTCACGTCCCTGTCTGCCAGCTGTGAGGTGCATACGTGCAGTCTCACACATAGTCACTTAACCAGCCACGGCCTTTTTCTCACAGAGATTATTACTGTAACACAACTTTGCCTGGATAACTGGATTATTTGCAATGTCTCTGACGTGTAAAATGAAAAAACAAATAAAAATAAACTACAGTTTTATTTATTGATTAATTAATTGATAAATTTGTTTTTTTTTTTACACTTGCTAAAAAGTGACAGAATTGTAGCAGTTTAGACTTTATCAGACAAAAAAATCCAACACACATGGCCTTTGGATCCAAATACAGTAAAAAAAAAAAGACACAAAAGTAAAAAACACAACAATGCACAGTTTTGGATAGTTTACTTTCGGACTTTACTCATACACGATATCACCTGAAAGCTCCTTTCTGCCATTAATGCTGACCACTTCAAGATACAACCACCACAGAAGGCTCAATGCTGCTTACACCCTGCTTACACAGCTATCAGTTCATCCATGTCAGCTCATGTCACACACTGCCAGTAGTCCAGATGATCTAAATCCAACCAGATATTTTGTCCAAACACATAACATCCAGAGATATCCATAAACTGCTGTTGGATTGTTTCAAATGTTCATATTATCATTAATTTCTAAACCTAATTCTTTTCCTAAACCTAATCTATGAACATTTGCTTTCCTAAACCTAGTTTCCATAACTTTACATTTGTCTATGTTAGGGTACATAATGACACCCAACTTTCCTAAACTTAACCTACTTAACTTCCATTTTCCCTGAACTTAATCTTTGTAACTTTACTTTCCAAACTAACCCAAGACTGACCTTTCCTAAACTTAGCTGATGTAACTTTATGTTAGGTATGTAACATGATGATGTCTAACCATGATTCTTCTCCTAAACCAAACCTAATTGATAAGGGCACTAATTCTTTAGATATCATACAAACTGTTGTATGAAGATATGTCAGGTTTCTCCTGTTTTACTCTCTTTCTTCTTCATTTTCTGTCTCTTTTTTAGCTGCTAACCTGCAGCTCTCATGGCAAAAAAAAAGCAGTGGTTGCCACCACACTCTACTTAGGGTGTATTCAATACGTGATATTACTGTTAGGTGTGGATTAAGGTGCAGCAGATCACGCTTCTGACCACACCCATTAGTTATACCTGGTGTGGTGGCTCATATAGCAAGCTCACCCAAGCACAAGGAGAGAGCGCTTTGTTAATCCCAAAGGGGAATTGCAATGTTACCATGTCACACAAAACAATCCCAAAACAAACAACAGACGCTCAAAGAGATAAGTAAGACATAAAATGACAAAACCATAAATAGCTGATCTTAACCAGACACTGATGAACAACTACAAACTAGGTTTGTACTCTGGTTCTAAATATATTCAGTGATCTCAATCTCACTGAGATGATTCAATAACTTTCTGTTTGAGTCACAATATGAGAAGAATAGACTGGTTAAAGCAACACTATAGCATGATTTTCACTTTCAGCTGCTCCCATATAAAGATGCACTGCTGGAACATTTTCATAGGCTTTTATATAAACAGCATAATTCATGGATCCATCATTTCTGTATTACAGGCTAATGGTGGTATGGGAAATACTTTCTTGGCACACATTAGGACCTTTAAGACCAACTGTACCTCATCTGATTGCTTCGGTGTACTAACATTTGCCTTGACCAGAGCACAGGTGGAAAGGTTTTTGCCTGGTAGATTGAAATGCCAGGAGCTGATCAAAGTAAACATGGATCCAGTGTTATATAGTGCAGTCCTTTTGTGCTGTGAGACATGAAAAAAAATCACTAAATGCCTTTTTAATTTATAATCTTCTGACAGTCCCAGTGCAGATGTTTAGCTCAGTGGCCCATCACTTTACTTTGGGATGCTACATAGCTTTCATAGCTTTCAGACTCTGGCATTCTGCCAAAGACCTGTGCAAGCACCCGACAACTCCACAACAACCTGACCTTGAACTTTGACGTCATGATGACGGCAAACAGCACGTCATCACCTGTGGTGCATTCAGTGTCAGCTGCCATTAGAAAAATACCTGAAGATTTTAAAAGCATGAAGGGGAATGATAGTTTACTCCCTTTCTCTTTCACTGCACACACACGCACACACACACACACACACACACACACACACACACACACAGAGGTAAGTAGCCGTGACCTTAAACCTAGATTGCTACAATAGATGGATGTTCAAACCAGTTTGACTATGACACAGCACTTCAATTGCATCATTGCTGAAACAGTAATCATAATAACATAGAGTACATCCACTCCCACAACTAATAAACAATAATACCTCTGACTAAGAGTACTACAGTGTTTCACTCTCAAAATGTACATTGTTTTTTTTTTTGATTTTTTTTTTGCTCCATGCACATCACAGTCCGAACACTGCATACAGAGAATTTTGCATCTTTGATAAAGAATTTAATCTAGGTTAATGAATAGTTGTCTTCTCAGGCAAGAAAGCAAAACACTAAAAGAAATCCCAGACTGATTCCAGACCATAATCTGTGACGTCAGACAGAAGGAATTTCTTAGACTAACAGAAAGTAGGAGGCTGACTGTACAGACTCCCACAGTGTTTGCTTGAGTTACAAAGGCATTTCTTCTTAATTAAAATTCAAACTCACTGTACTCAACTACAAAATATCTCTATACACTAGCAATAATTGTTCTGTCACACAGCAAAGAACAAGAGAATATTCCTCAAATATCTCCACTGATGTTGCATGGGACCAGTGATGGACAGTAACTAAGAACATGTACCTAAGTACTGTACTTAATTACAGTGGGTTGTTGTGGAGTCATTAGGTTCAGTAAATGAATTATGACAAATATGGCAATTATGACAATATACAACAATGCTTTGAGACATTTTTAAGTACTTTGAATACTAAAATATTTTTGAAAGCAAATACTCCAGTTCTTTAACTCAAGCATGGATTTGACTCTTGTCTTCCACTTGTATCAGAGTAATGTTGGACCAGCAGTATCTATACTTTGACTCAACTAATGATGTTGTGCACTTTGTCCACCATTGAATGGGACACAGACTTTATACACTTACAGTGTGTTGACACTTTACAGCAATACAAGTATTGCTAGCTAAGTAGCTGACTGAAAATGTTATAGGCTATCATCAAAACAGGCTCAAAAAAAGTCTTTGTGTTTTTATTTATATAGCAGTTCAAGACAAGTTTTCTCTTATAGCACACAAAATTAAAACATAACACTGAATCTGAGCCATAACAAATTTGATGACGTGACATCATTCATCATTCAATGACATGAAAAGTACATAAAACATTTCACATTAGAATTAAATGCTCATTACTACCAAATGAATAATCAATAAAATATAAAAATCAACCAGCAAATTGTTAACTTGATTTAAGAAATAATGATCAACAAATCCCCAACTCCAAAAATTCAGATATTAAACAAGCCAGTGTGGGCTAAAATTAGTTTATTGTTATGCAAATGAAAGGAAAAAAGCACACAAATATAGGAAATATAATACAAAATTAAATAGGTAAGTTGTGAAATAACGGAATAAAATAATAAACTGACAAAGTGTTATTTCATCATTCATTTAAAATGATCACTGAGATTTATTGTAACTGTTTTATGTATATTTTACCATTGTTTTTATTGTGCAGTGCCCCTTTTCAAAACTTTTCAACTTTAAATTACAGTGGCATTTTTCTCCCTAGGCACTTTAATCTGATAATGTCACTTTTCATAATGTTTTGGATAATTGCCATGAATTGCCAATTATCAGAAAAATAGAATAACGTTTCACAGAATTAGTTTCATTTTATGATCTCACAATTTCTTGGTTAACTAACACATCAATGTGCATTCATCCATACTTAATGTTTGTATTGTTGTGGTGTATTATAAATATCTATTGTAATTTTGGCACACAGGGAATTCAGTGCAGAATTTGGTTGTGCTTCCAAATAAACTGAGTTACCCAAAATGTAATGTTGAGTTTCCAATTTCAAATCAGGAGAAGAGTTGTCTCCAATTAAATTTTTGTGCAAATTAAGAAACTTTTTTTATTTTAAACTCTCTGGAGACTGATTTTACAGCTCCCAGACCCTCAGAGAGTAAACCAGTGACGCCACACAGGCTCCACCAAGGATCTTGAGTATTTCTCTGGCACCTCCCAGTGGAGCAGAACCAACAGTGCACTAACCCTTGATGGACAAATGTTCTCTTTAGGTATTTTGTAGTACATCTGAAGAGTTTTACAGTCTAAAATTTACATTGTAAATAAATTCAGTGTTTACTTCAGATTTTGTTTTTTTTAATGGTTGCAAAACCCACTGAAATGACAGATATGTAGATGTGCAAACTGTTTTATTTCTGCAGTAATGAGAAACATAAAAAAGACAAAAAGAAAACCCCCCAAAAAAACACAGGAAACTCAAACACCTGTGAGGTGATTTAGTTCATTTACATGACAGTGACTCTGATTAGTCTAATCACTGTGATAACTGGAACAAATAGTTAAGGGAGTGGCGTTTTTACCATCACTATTATGCCATGGATTGAAATATGGGTAGAGCTTCTCAGTGAACCTACAGCCAGTAAAGGAGTAGATGAGAGCTGCAGCATCAATGTCATAAAAGGAGACCAGACCCTCTGCATAATCCACAAACACCCCCACCCTCTGAGGCTTTGACTTGAGAGAGAGATGGATTGAAGGGCCAGCACAGGCTTCATACTGATTTCTTTTACTCATGCATACAGTCCAGTAGCCATTTGTTGGGGACAAAGTGATGAAGGTGTCCTTTCTGTTGACAGACTCTCTGGCCACTCCTAAAGTCCAGGCAGTCTTCCCTTTGACTTGGACTTCATAGTAAAATCTTCCCACAGAGAAACTCTGCTTTCCGAGGACAGAATATAAAGAAAATCTCTTTGGGTTGTCGGGAAGATTCTGCTTCATGTCACCATAACTGACTTGCTTCCCATCATCAGACAGGATGAGATGGGGATTTGCTGTTTCATGATCAAGAGTCACATCCACTGCAAACTGCTGGACCCTCTTCACCTCAAGGTTGGCACACAACCTTTTAACCTCTTTACTGAGTGTCCCCTCCAGCTGAGTCACAGTACTCCTAACAGCGCCCTCACATGATGAGTGAACTCTTACCTCTGTCCAGTCCTTGGTGGGTTGAAATGGATTCAAGGACAGGAGGCTTTGGAGAAGCAGGAGGTGGTCTTCAGTGCGTGAGAGCTGCTCCAGCTCAGAGCTTCTCTTCATCAGCTCAGAGATCTCCTCTTCAAGCTCTCTGATGAAGCCTTCTGCTTGTTTCTCTGTTGTGTTATGCCTCTCTTTAATCATCTCAATCAGATCAGCCAGACTTCTCTCAACAGACTGGATCAGAGCAGTGAAGACCTGCACACTCGCTGCTGTCTGTTTCTCTGCATCTTCCTTGCTGAGCTCCACTGACTTTTTGAACTGCTTGATCTTCAGTCGTCTCTCCTGGATCATCTGCTGAACTTTAGCCTCTATCTTTCCAAGTTTAGCTTTCTTTCCTTCATATTCATCTTTCAGAGAAATGACATGATGTCTCTTGTGACTTGACTCAGTGCAGAACTGACACACACACATCTGGTCAGTCTTGCAGAACAGCTCCAGAGGTCTATTATGCTTCTTACACATCCTGCTCTCCAGGTTCTCCACAGGATCAATCAGCGTATGTATTTTCAGGCCTGTGACTCTCTGGTGAGGCTCCAGGTGAGTCTCACAGTAGGAGGCCAGACACACCAGGCAGGACTTCAGGGCCTTCATCTTGGTTTCAGTGCAGACGTCACAGAGAACTTCTCCTATGTCTGCTCGGTGATGCTGTGAGCTGCTGCTGGCTTTTATTTTAACTGACTGCCTGAATCGAGCAGCCATCTCAGATATAAAAGTGTTGACATGCAGTTCAGTTCTTCCATCAATCTGTTTTTTACATACAGGGCACTTAGTCTGGTCATTAATATTCCAGTGATGTGTGATGCAGGTCTTGCAGAAGTTGTGTCCACATGGTATGGTGACTGGATCAGTGAATACATCTAGACAGATGGAGCATAGAAACTGATCTTCAGAGAGGAGACTGCTGGCTGCTGCCATGTCTAACAACAAAAGTGAAAGTGTGAAATACAAACAATTAAATAACAGACAATATTAAAATATCAGCAAAAGTCATGTTGAGACAAGTAGTTCTGTTGCAAATCACTAAAGTACAAAAGCAGAGAATGGCTGTGCTTGCAGTTAATTTGAATTCTATTTAGAGAAAACAAGCTTTATCTCAAGATAACAAGAATATCAACCTGTCATTACGAGAAACCAAAAGGTTGTTTGTTAAGTTGTTTCCTCTTACTACTCATGTTATCAGAGATCAGGAGTGTTACGCCTGCATGCATAGATAGTATCATGACAACTGCAGCAACAAATGTAAGCTGAAAATATCAGAATAGGTGCAATCGGGTGACTGCCCCTGTGGGAGGGTAGTAAAATGGAGCAGAGCGAGAGGGTGTGGGTGCCTCTTGGGTGCGGAGCGCCTGGTAAATGTTATGGGGCAAAAGTGCAGCCAGCCATATTTTGCACTCATACCGGTGCCATTTGCAGATCATTTACTGCTACTTACCCCAGATAGACAGCTCGGAGGGAGGTTCCTGCATGAGGGAGGGCAAAGGGAGTGTTAACAGGTATATAAGAGTGCCTTTATTGGCTCTCCAGCCAGTGATGAGGTTCTCATTGTGTGTGATTGAAAAGCTGCTGAGAGACAGAATACACTGGTTGGGGAAGCAGTTAAAGCAGCCTAGATAAATCCTGTGGTGCTTCTGCAAATGCTGCATCATAATTGATTAATGTCTCCCATAAACCATAATACTTTGGAGAAAAAAGAGACTCAAGTCTGACACCCTCTCACACCTAAAGACAACGTTTCATGAGTCAGAACATTTTTATTTACAGAATCAGATTTTGCAAAAACTGAGTATCTTGCAAAAACTTTATTTGCAAGATTTTTAGCTTAAAAAGGGGGGAAAAAAGTGCACAGAGATTGTTGCAGCCTTCAAATTTGCCATAAAGTACGTGTGGCGAGTTGGGGGTGGGGGGGGTGTTTAAATATCAGTATCAAGATCCAGGTGTCCGACAACGCCACCTGGGGAATTGCACCCCAGGAAATACTAGACTAAGATTTTAACTAGATCAGGTCACACAGATTCGTAAACCACTGGGGCGAGACGGTTTGTAATTTTAAAAACAAACAAACTTTATTAAACTAAATTATACAAAAGAAAAGAAGCAATATGTCACACACCACACATAATATAACATAGGCACTTGGACAGGGGAGGGGAATAAGGTCAGGGCTGAGGCTTACCATGCGGCAGAAACCAAAAAGGGAGAAGGGATCCTCAAAATAAACCACCCGTGACACTGCACACACACACAACAAAAAAGGGAGGGGGTTTGTGAAGAATGCACCACCACCAGGGGTCAAACTGCCGCCGTCAGCCACCAGCACCTGAACAAAAAAAAAAGAAAACAAGGATTAATAAAACATGCCCAAGGACTAAACAAAAATTGGTGTGGACTAACTAATAAAAATTACGAAAGAACCGTAATTTAATTAACCTAATTTAACCCAACTGAAATCCAATACAAGAAAATATGAATAATTAAATCAGTTTATCACAATTAATAACCCAAAAAGATAAAGAGAAAATTACTGAGTTAATTGAAAAGAACCACCAAAGAAACACGAATGAAACAAATTAACACCAGGTTTAAAATAAAGAGATCATGGTTGGTGGCAGGGGCAATCATGTAGGCCCCAGCACAGCCCTTAAATCAATGGGACCTCAGTCAGTAGGTCCAAGCGGCAACCAGCCGCGTCGGGCCAAAGCGTAGTCCGCCCCACAGCAAACCAAACACCAAAATGAAGAGAAAAGAAAAGAAAGAAAAGAACCAAAACCAGAAAAGCCAAAACAGAATAACCAAAACAGAATTAGAACATGAAAACCAAAACAGCAACGCAGCTCCAGGAGTGATGGTCAGTGATGGCCAGAGTTACAGGCCACAGGGGTGCCAGGCATGCACAGCGAACATAAACAACCAGCGAATGCGAGCCTCACAGGACGCAGCTTTAAACACACACGGCCAGAGCGGACCAGTAGCTGAACACAGCGAGGCTCCAGCGAGCCACTCCCGCCTCCCCTGGACCAAGCAGTCAGCTGCGTGGGGTAGAGAAGATTTGTGTGCCTCGACGGCGGTCTCAAACACGGGACGGCTGCACCAAACAAACGCTGCACGCCAAACAACGCTGACACGCCATGCCACATCCACCACGGGAGCAAGCGAGGAGCGGAAGAGAGGACGGGGCGCGGCCTCACGCCTGAATATAACGGTGCGCATGGCCCCGCCCCGCAATCACGGTGGTTGGAAAGCAAACACAGTGCTGAATAGTGGCAAGGAGGGAGACAACCTCCGGCTACATATGCTTTATGCTATAGCTAGCTAACAGCTTTCCCCATCTCAAACATTGCTTTTTGTAAGCTAACGTTAGTGACTGGAATGTTTGCAATAAGCCACAAGCTAACGTACAATCTCATCTGAAGATTTCTAGCTTCAATTATACAAATGGTTATATGATGTATAAAGTTAGCTCGTACGCTAATATTACTAATTTTAGTAGCAAACATCAGTTAAGTAGCCCATACAGTGGTTAGTTAGCCAGCTAAAGCATATAACATACTTACAAGCAGTGGTCGAATTGAGGGGGGCTGAGGGGGGATGCCACCCCCTTTGTTAGAAAATTGACCAAAAAGCATCCCCTTTGTTAATCTAGAATCTGTGTGTGCAGGCACGGACGTAATTTGAGGGGGGGGTGCAGGGGACATGTCCACCGCACTTCCCGTATCTGTGCCCTCCGCCCCCTGCACTTTTTACAGCCGTTACCACCGTCCAATTCGTTTTTAACATGTGGTAACGTGTTTTTCTGAGCCGTCTTTAAACGCACCATGAGAAGGTGCATACACACGCTGTCATGTTGTGATCAGAGTCAGTCCACACAGACAAGACGTGTGCTGCTGGGCAGTGCTGATGAGTGTTAACTATGTTCAGCAAAGCAGCCAGCAAGAAGCAAAAAACCTTGCACAGTTTCTTCCAAACAACCCGTGTAAGCTGAGTGATGCTGTTGCATGTAGATAATGTTAGCTAAATGATGACTAATTAATATGCCAATATATCAAGTTAAGCTAGTTAACAAGAACACTAATGTTATTGTTACCTATGTTAAATCGCTTGCTAGCTAGTTTCATGCTAGGAATAAACCCACTCCTCCTTAATAAGAACTTGTGCTCACTATTGCTTTGCACATATTTTTTTAATCTTTACTGCCACAATATAAAGAGCAGGGTCAGGAAGGAGACAGTGGACCAGAGGCCAGCAAGGATGATCATGCAGGGTTCTCATAGGTGAGGAGAGATTATAACTGGCTGAGAGAAAATATCTATAGCATAAAAGTGACCGTGCGATTAATTTCTACAGCTATGTCACCACTACTATTCTTAATTCTATTTCTAAATTTTGCTTTGCACATTTGTTATCTATATTATTGCAATAGATAGAAGAGGGACAGGGAGAAACCAGGCAGGTATCAGGACAGTGACCTGACAGCAGCACCAATTATCAGCCCAAGGCTTCACAGATTAGGAGAAATTATAACTGGCTAAGGAAATGTCTATAGGATAAGAGTGACTCTAAGATTAATTTTCACAGCTATTTCAGATCTACTCTTATGAATATTCTAAAATTTTTTTTGTCTGTATTGCAATAGCAATACTACTGCATTATTTGTGTTTTTAAAGGCAGCAGGTATAGGTCATGCCATTTTTCTTCATCTTGATTAATTTTGCACATCTGTGCTGTCATATTTGATGATGTGTGCATGCAAAAAAAATCAAAGTTACATTGCATCCCCCTTGTTAAAAATTAACAATTCGACCACTGCTTACAAGGGATTTCAAAATTTTAAGTTAAAGTTTTTTTCCTTTATAACCTAGCACACTAGCAATTAGCTTGCCTTGTGACATTAAAATATTGTTGACTTTAACATGGCCGGAGGTAGCTTAAGGTAAACATCTGCTCCTTCTAAAGATAATTTCTGATTTCTTATAACTTATTAAGAGATACAAACACATTCAGCAAACATTTAACTTAATTCAGTATTAACTGTAGCTCCATGTAAAGTGAATAAATGTGATCTTTCCGGGGTCTGCCCATTGGGCCGACAGCCCATTGGTCCGACATCCCATTGTTCCGACCATATTAAACCCATTGTTCCGAAGTCCCGTTGTTCCGAAATCATCATGATGCCCTGTGGTTAAGGTCTGGTTAGGTTTAGGCACAAAAACCACTTGGTTAGGGTTAGGAAAAGATCATGGTGTGGGTTAAAATGAAAAAGAAAGTGGCAAACACACAAGCCTTTCCCAGCTGACCCAGAGCCGGTGACGGCGCACCATCAAGGCAGAAATACGCCCGCCGGGAGCCGTTCAGCACTGCGGAAAGCTACCCACACAACCCGGACACCAGAGTCAATAGCAGGAGGTTATGGTGTTTCATTCTCTCCTCTCTATGACACTTGTATCTCGACCAGTAACCTACTTTTGTTGCGTTGCTGATCCTCTATGGTACACAAATACAGTATAGCCTAGTATAATCACATATCCGAACAACAGGACGACGGATTAATGAGAGGTCTGAACAGTGAGAGGTCAGAACAATCCTATGGCACCATGTTTCCCAGCTAATCCTCCGCTCCTCTGCATTAACGACGCTGTTTACATGTTTTTTAACTTCTGATTTCTTAAATATTGTTCTGAGCAAAACATGATGCAGAATTTAGCAGCAGCCTTCAGTAATAATAATATAATGAAGTGGTAAAAGAAATAACTTGTAGCGTTCATTTATTTTATATGATTTAGAGGAAGTACGGTAAATCAGTAACACATTCTCAGCCCTAAATAGATATTTCAAGGTATGTTGCTGAGTTTATTTTATAATGAGCAATTGTAGGTTGAAAATGAAGTCGGACGGGGAAAGGTTATGAAACGTTATGATGAAGCATATAGATGCATCACTTCAACGCATACAATGATAACTTATGATACATGGACTATTGTAACATACTATTAGTTGATGACAGTTGATTGTTGAGATGTGTATAGGCAAGTAGGCCTATAGGTACTCATAATGCATCATAAGCCCCATCAGTCAGCCTTTAGTTTATAACTAGTCAAGAGCATCTATAAGATACTTGGCACTTATAATCAATTATAAGTCACATCTCTAATGTTTTATGACTATTAATAGAGTGCATCAAGAAGCATTAGGTGTGTTTATGGGTGCAGTCATAGAGCATTATAAATGCATTAATTCACTATGAATGCCATTATAATGCATTATAGATGTGGTCTTCACAGAAACTGTTACCAAAAATGGCTTGAAGTTTCAATTAGTTATAAAACATTTGTTTACCTCAAAATGACCCTTCAGTTTTTATTTCTTTAAGGGTCATTCATCTGACTGATAATAATGATAATACCATGACACCATGAAACTGCAACGGTTATCGTACCATGAAAATCTCGTACCACTTCAACCCTAAGTGCAGTATTGCATGTTGTGCGCTGAGGGGGATGTGTTTTTGGTGTGAGCAGCAGTGCAGTGTCCTGTTGCAGTGTCCTAAAGGGTGTAAATGCTGCAGGGTGGTCAAGATTGGCGTGAGCCCATACATTTGAAGGAGAGAGTAGGGCTCAGTCTGTGTCTGCTGTACGTGTGTGCAAGGCTGCTTGAATTTGTGCTAATGAAGATTATTTTCTGTTACTCCTGGGTTTCCTCCTCATTTAATGGGTGCACAGTAGAAACATCCTGTGTGCAGGCTCTCTACATCTCACATCAATGACAAGGTTTATGACAAAATTAGAAAACAAGATTGTGCTCTAATATTGCAGCAAACAAAACTACACACCTTGACAGTTGTTCAGTTATGAATCCACCCAGACAGTTATGGCAGTGGTCTTAAAGGCTGAAATCAGTATGATCCAACTAGTTATTCATTTTTGTGATCTTGTGATCTTGAGATCTTGTAAACTGCAAGACTCAAGTCATGTTCTCATAGAGGTATCATAACAGCTTTATCCATCATCATATTAGTTCAATATAGTTTTTATTACAAATGTGTGGCTGTGAAATCGGAAGTTAATTTGAAAGAGCACATGTCACCATCTGTGATGCGTTCAAAGCCAGCTCCCGACATCAGGAAAAAACTTCATCTGATTCTAAATGGGAGTGACACTTTAAACTCCTCCCCCTCTCTGGCCACACACACACACACACACACACTCTGTAGATTGCTACAGTAGTCAAACCAGGTTGACTAAGATGCAGAACTTGAATTACATCATTCCTGAAACAGTAAACATAAGAGAGAACATCCACTCCCCTAACTTATACTCAATAATAGTTATCTCGAGAAACCAGCCTTTAGTTTTGTTCATGAAGACATAAATCAACCCCTTACAACAAGAAAACAAGCTTTGTTATCTTGAGATTAAAAAACAACTTGTGATTTTGAGATTACACAAAAATAATTGCAAGCACATCCGCTTTCAGCATCTAAAACATTTAACCAGGCAGTAATTCAGTATTGTAGCCTGCATTGTCTTGAAAGAGACCACAGATCACCTGTCAACCCATAACAGATAACTTGAGTGTCAAGAGAGGTAGACAGCCCATCTACAGCTCACCTTTTAATACCAGCAAGTGAGACATAAATATCCTACTGTGTCTTAGAAGACAACCAATGAAGGAGGCCTCACAAAAAGCAGCATGTCAGACTTCTTGGTATAGTTGTCCCTGTGAGAGTATTCCTTCTTCTCTCAGCTGTACTTACTTGAATTTAGAGGCTCCACTGTAGGCGACTGTTGACCTGAAGTTGTTTGCTGAGAGAGACAAAGAGTGAAACTGTCACTGACTATGAAACACTCCTCTCTTTACAGCGTTGCTCCACCTCCTCATGCAGGTCAGCTGGTTTTTTCTTTGGTTATCTCTTTCCACAGATGGGGGACATGAGTCCAACTAGAGTTGCAAATTTAAGGACCTGAGACTTGCTTGACTGATACCAATGAAAGACTCAACTTGACTTTGACTTGACATGGATGACTAAAAAGGACTTGATTTAAAAAAAAACATGTAAAACTTATGGGGTGCTGTTTGTAAAGTGGCTAACACTGAAATTAACAGCAAGATTCTGCCACATTTAGCTTCAAACAATGTTTAAAAAAGTGGTGTGAATTTTTTAAAGTCATTACATTTACAGCAATATATTAAATATGTTAAATATAATGTCACATCTAAATATTAAATGTTAAATCTAAATATTAAATGTTAAATCCATATCTAAATGTTAAATGACACTAAAACTCAAAGTACACGTCAAATAGAATTTCTCCAAACATGATTTCTGTCATTATAGGTAGTTCTTATCATGCTGATATATGTTTGGTTTTAATTCGTTATTTGATGCTATAAACACAGTCTGACCACCCGGGCTTTTATTTTGGTACACACTACAGTGTGCATTTGCATATTAGCTAAATATTTAGTTTCACCAAGCATGTTTAGATGTAACATTTAACACGTAGATTTAACATTTATATTTATATTCAACATTTATATTTAACATTTAGATTTAGATTCAACATTTAGATTTAGATTTAACATTTTGATTTAGATTTAACATTTAAGTTTAACATTTATTATTTAGATTTAACTGTGACATTATTTTAACATATTTCAAATATTGCTGTAAATGTGATAAAAAGTGACCTTAAAAAATTCACACCACTTATTTAAGCGTTGTTTGAAGCTAAATGTGGCAAATGTTGCTGTTAATTTCAGTGTGAGCCACTTTACAAATGGCACCCCATAAATACTTGCATTTTTCTAGATGTTGAGAAGTTTCGTTTTGCTTTTAAATATGATGACGCACGGATATTCGTGCTCACACTACCACAGCTCTGTCCCCCTGCCCACAGCCCTCCTCAGATGAATGGCAGTATGTTTGTAATGACTGTCCCTGTCTGCTGTCCCAACATAACTTCACTATCTGTGAGTGTGTGTGTACATGCATCCAAGTGCCATGAGGTAGTATCTCCAGAGACTTTTTTTTTGGCCTCCCATTCCTGCTCAGCTCGCCTTTGGGGATTATTAATAGTGTGTTATTATCTCACCTGCTCTCTGACTGCAGCAGGTATGTTATTGAGTGGAGTCTTTCACCCTGACCACAGGGCTTGGAGTAAGAGAGGAAGCATTTAGATCCTTTACTCTTGTAAAAGTAACTAATACCACACTGTATAAATACTCTGTTAAGTCAAAGTCCTGCATTTAATATGATATTTAAGTAAAAGTATGTGAGTATGATCAGTAAAATGTACTTAAAGTATTACAAGTAAAAGTACTGTAAAATGTCCCCTGTGACTGTTGTAGTCTGCTACTATATATGATCTCATTAGATTATTATGACACACGCATTAATGTAAAAGCAAGATTTTACTGTTGTAGTTGGTTGAGGTGGAGCTCATTTTGAACCAATAAGTAATCATTCTTTTTTTATGGGTTTATCTGGTGATTATTTTCTCCATTAATCGATTGATTGTTTGGTTTGTAAAAATTCTGGAAATAGTGAGAGATAGCTTCACACTTACCCAGAGCCCAAAGTGACACATTCATAATGTTTGTTTTGTCCACCAACAGTTCAAACCTCAACATTAAAACCAATTATAGAATATTTTTTAAAAAAGCAGCAAAAAAATCCTCACATTTGTGAAGCTGGAGCCATGAAATGTTTTTGCATTACAAAACAACGCAAATTTATTTTCTGTCAGGTCAATAACAGATTCATAGTTCCAGTTGTACCTGAACATTTTCTGAGTTTGTGAGTATAACTTGACTTGTGACTTGCTTGACCTGAGCAATGACTTGACTCAACTTATAGAAAGGACTCAACTGGCTTGATTTTCACCACAGTGACTTGAAACTTGCCACCACCTTTGTCTCTTTCAGGTTTGTAAATTATTATGGTGACTTTACCAAAAGATGAACTGATTTCATTTCACATTGAAATTACAAAGTAAGACTAATTTCCACCTGAAATGTCACATTTGAGTCAATAGTCCTGTCTAATGGTTAGAAATGCAGATCTACACTGTAGAGAAAACACAAGACAAACACACAATGAGAGATGAGATGCTGAAAACTGAGAGACCCATGTCATGTCAGAGGTATCATAACAGCTTTAACCATCATCATATTAGTTCAATGTCATTTTTTATTGTAGATGTGTGACTGTGGAATTGAAAATTGATTTGAAAGGGCATATGTCACCATCTGTGATGCATTCAAAGCCAGCTCCCAGCATCAGAAAAAAAAATCATCTGAAGGGCAGTGTCACACACACACACACACACACACACACACACACACACACACACACACACACATGTACACAAATTTTTTTTGTTCCGTGCACATCACAGTCCTAACAGTGCATACAGAGAATTTAGCATGTCTAATAAGGAATTAGATTTTTTTTGTTCCGTGCACATCACAGTCCTAACAGTGCATACAGAGAATTTAGCATGTCTAATAAGGAATTAGATTTTGGTTAATAAATCGTTGTCTTTTCAGGCAAGAAGGCAAAACATTAAAAAACATACCAGACTGGTTTCAGACTACAATCTGTGATGTCAGACAGAAATAGTTTCTCAGACTAACAGAAAGGCTGACTATACAGACTCCCACAGTGATTGCTTGACTTTCAAAGGCATTTCTCCTTAATTAAAATTCAAACTAGCTGTGCTTAACTACAAACTATCTCTATATGCTAGCAACAATTGTTCTGTCATACAACAAGGTACAATCAAAAAGATAATATTCTTCAAATATTTTCACTGATGATGAATAGACTTAGAGAGTGCATTGACACTTTACAGTAATACAGTAATCTCTAGCTGTTAAGTAGCTAACTGAGAAAATGTTTATAAAAAAAAGGCCCAGTTATAGTCTATAGTCTCCTGGATCATCTCTTTATTCATAACAGTTTTAAAAATACTGCTCTTATTGTAAAGATTCAAAAGAAAAAAACACATAAATTCTTCATTCGTTGGCAAATATTATTGAATGACATGAAAAAAAGTAAAACATTTCACATCAGAATTAAATGCTCATTGTTACCAAATTAAAAATCAGCAAAATATATAACTAAACCAGCATAGTGTAAAATTAATTGAAAAAATAAATTATGAACACAAATCCCCAACACCATTTTTTTATATTATTTGAAACAAAGTGGTCTAAAACCACAGAAGTGAATAACATTGATCATTTCATTACAATGCAATGTTCTGCAGGGAAAACCTTTGGTCCTTGGATTCATGTGAATGCCCCTTCCCTTAACGCACTCCACCCATCTAAACATTGTTGTAGACCAAGTACCCCCACTCATGCCAGGGGGCTATTGGTCTGTAATGGGGTTTGGGTGGGTGTGTAAAGTGGCATCTACATGAATGGTAGGAGCCAAGGTTCCTCACAAGAGCATTGCACTGTAACAAAATTATCTGTGCTATTCACCTTATCAGTCAGTGGTTTTAATGTTTTGGCTGATCTGCGTATGTACTAATGGACATGGCTACAGTGATATCACCCATTGGTTTGTGGACTGTTGTTTCAAAGCCTCAAGTTTGGCATTTTGTCTGTTGCCATCTTGTTTTTTTGGAGCAGGTGACCATATTCGAACAAGAGGGTGAAGGTATGGAGGAGAGATGGATGAATCTGACAAATAGACTGTAGTGATGCTACACTTTGTGCCTTTTACAAAGTTTCACAAAGTTAATGAGCCATAGCGACCAAAACCATTTTTTGTACCAGGCTGTAAACATGTCTATTTCTGCTATAACGTTGGACATTTGAACATGGAGGTCGACAGGCATTTACTCTGTTTTAGAGCCAGCCTCAATTGGCCATTCAATGAACTGCAGTTTTGGCTTAATTTTTCAGCTTTGGAGGTTGGTGCTTGGCTAAAACTAGATTATCATTATGACAAAAAATACACAGAAGTATAGAGAATGTAATTAAAAAAAGTCAAATATGGAAGCTTAAAATAATGGAATGAATTCATAAATCTAAACTCGCAATTACTAAGTGTTATTTTATTTTTCTTTTGAAATACTAAGTTTTACTGGAATTGTTTTAATTATATTTTGCCATCTAAACAAAATAGTAATTTGTAAAACATCTTCAATTTGCATAAATGCTCAAAAACATTTATTAACCAGTAAATATACTCAACCAGAAAATTGTGTAAAATTGTTATAAAAACAAATAAACAACAACAACAACAACAAAAACATGTAGATATTATTCTACTGCCATGTGCTAAAACCAGATTATTATTATGAAAAATCAACCAAAGCAATCTTAATAAAACAGTAAAGTGATTTGGGACATTTACATGACAGTGACTCTGTTATAATTCATCTAATCAGTTTGATTGATGGAACAAATTTTTAAAGGAGTGGAGTTTCTACCATTATTGTTATGACAGGGATTGAAATATGGGCGCAGCTTCTCAGTGAATTTACAGTCAGTAAAGGAGTAGATGAGAGCTGCAGCATCAGTGTCATAAAAGGAGACCAGACCCTCCTCATGATCCACAAAAACCCCCACCTGCTGAGGCTCTGACTTGAGAGAGAGATGGACTGGTGATGAAGCAACTGCATACACTATGTTGTTCATCATGCATATCGACCAACAGCCATACTCAGGGGTCAGTGTGATACGCCCTTTCCTGATGACAGACTCTCTGGCCACTCCTAAAGTCCAGGCAGTCTTCCCTTTGACTTGGACTTCATAGTAAAATCTTCCTGAAGAGAAACTCTGCTTTCCAAGGACAGAATAACAAAGAAATCTCTCTGGGTTGTCAGGAAGATTCTGCTTCATGTCACCATAACTGACTTGCTTCCCATCATCAGACAGGATGAGATGGGGATTTGCTGTTTCATGATCAAGAGTCACATCCACTGCAAACTGCTGGACCCTTTTCACCTCAACATCAACACACAGCTTCTTAAGCTCTTTACTGAGTGTCTCCTCCAGCTGAGACACAGCTGTCCTCACAGCCCCCTCATATGACGAGTGAACTCTGACCTCTGTCCAGTCCTTGGTGGGTTGAGCAGGAATTAAGGATGTGAAGCTTTGGAGGAGTAGGAGGTGGTCTTTAGTATGTGAGAGCTGTTTCAGCTCAGTGCTTCTCCTCATCAACTCAGAGATCTCCTCTTCAAGCTCTTTGATGAATCCTTCAACCTGTTTCTCTGTTGTGTTATGCCTCTCTTTAATCATCTCAATCAGATCAGCCAGACTTCTCTCAACAGACTGGATCAGAGCAGTGAAGACTTGCACACTGGATGCTGTCTCTCTGTCTGCAGTTTCCTTGCTGAGCTCCACTGATTGCTTAAGCTCTTGAATCTTCAGTTCTCTCTCCTGGATCATCTGCTGAACTTCAGCCTCTGTCTTTCTCAGCTCAGCTTTCTTTTCTTCACATTCTTTTATCAGAGGAACAATTTGATGAAGCTTGTGACTTGACTCAGTGCAGAACTGACACACACATATCTGGTCAGTCTTGCAGAACAGCTCCAGAGGTCTCTCATGCTTCTTACACATCCTGCTTTCCAGGTTCTCCACAGGATCAATCAGCGTATGTCTTTTCAGGCCTGTGACTCTCTGGTGAGGCTCCAGGTGAGTCTCACAGTAGGAGGCCAGACACACTAGGCAGGACTTCAGGGCCTTCATCTTGGTTTCAGTGCAGACATCACAGAGAACTTCCTCTGGGTTGGTTTGTTGTTCCCCTAAGCTGGTGCTGGTTGTCTTTTGAACTGACTGCCTGAACTGAGCAGTCATCTCAGATATAAAAGTATTGACCCGAAGTTCGGGTCTTCTGTCAAAAAGCTCTTTACACACGGCACACTGACTCTGGATATTAATACTCCAGTGATTTGTGATGCAGGTCTTGCAGAAGTTGTGTCCACATGGTATGGTGACTGGATCAGTGAACACATCCAGACAGATGGAGCACAGAAATTGATCCTCAGAGAGGGGACAGCTGGCTGCTGCCATGTCTAAAAACAAAAGTTAAGATGTGGAATGAAAGAATAATGAATTAACAAACAATACTAAAATATCAGCATAAGTCATGCTGAAACAAATAGTTACATTGCAAATCGCATAACTACAAAAGCCGGGAATGGCAGTGCATGCAATCATATTTTTTTAATGTTATCTCGAGATCATGATTAATTATGTTACTTCAAGAAAACAAGCTCTATGTTGAGATATTGAGATAATCAACCTGGTATTGTGATTCATGAGAAAATAAAAGTTTGTTTCCGCATATTATCATGGTTCTGCTCTGTGTCCAGAGTGTTCAGACTTTTTTTCAATACTATTTGGCTATGCACTTTTTTTTGAGTTTGTTATATTAGTAATTGGTTTTTGTTTTAATTTGTTCTATTATCATGAGAATTTTGTTTACTAGGTTTTGGGTTTTATGTTTTTCTTGCAAATAGTCATGTTTCCAGTTTTATTTTGTCATACTCACATTATGTATCACAGCTTTTCAGCAGTTTCACACCCTGCTTTTGTGTTTTCTTTTCTTCTTGTCTTTGTGATTCACTGGTGAATGGCCACAGAGATGGGCCCCCACTAGAACATAGGAACAGAGACGGGACCCCATTGGAACACAAAATTGGGACCCCACTGGAACATGGCCATGGAGATGGAACCCCACTAGAGAACAACCACGAGACTTGAAATTGGGAACAGCGGATGGCAACTGACAATCCAGAGGCAATTTGGACCCATGGAGAGCTGAGCAAGTAGCCAGCGATGGGGCGGCTGAGCTGGAGGCAAGCAACAGGACAGCAAGGCAGGAGCCTCATGGTTGAGAGTAGAACTGGAGTTCTGGTGGAACCAGGAAACTGGTACTGGCAGAAAATTGGTGGTGCTGCAGCTCGGGATCTTTGTGACTGCTCAGCTTGTTCTCATTCCCAACTCGTCAAATACCACCACTTTTTCAGTGATTTCGGCATCAGACACCAATGCAACAAAGCACTTCTGCTGCAATTTGCCACCAGGCGATGTTAGTTTGTAGTGCTGCCAGCAACTACATTAAATATAAAACTGGAAAGGATGGGTGGGAGGGGAGGTGGATGGGTCCAACAAACTTCGGACTTTCACCTGGGAGCCCACTATTTGCTTTTCAGGTGAATGTTGAGCATTAGGTTTTTTCTAAACTAACCACATGCTTTTGTTGCCTAAATCGTACCACGTACGTTTGTTGCACAAGAAAATAGACCTAATTAACCGTACCACGTACTTTTGTTGCACAAGAAAATAGACCTAACTAAACCGTACCATGTACTTTTGCTGCACAAGAAAATAGACCTAAAAACGAGGTGTTTTACCAATGCTGTAACTGTATTTTGAAAAAGACTGTAGGAAAAACAGCCTTCTGAACTCTCCCAAAACCTAGATTGTAAGTAAATGGACAGAGGTGAGATGGGCCACTCTGAGGGACAAATGTTTATAACTTTGCCCGTTTCACCTCAAAGTTGATGAACTCTTTGACTGTCATCCTGACGCTAAGGGTGGTAAAGGTGTCAATTGGAAACCATCCAGATCCCAGTTTGCTGAGCGTTTTGACAACTCAGCCAGATGAACTGCCATACCTGGGGCCATTAACTATGCTTTTAAGTTCACTGATGTGCTGAAATCCAATCAACAGGAAGAGACTCCAACTCAACCACCAATAAAAAGAATCATATCTTTAATAAAACAGACTGTTTTCTTCATAATCTACCTCCAGTTAAACCCCATCCCCTCTTCCCTTCTGTCCCGCTATCTGTTATGCAACATCTCTATGGGATTCACCCCAGCTCTATCTTACTCTCACCCTGGTGAAAATAAGATAAGACCACCAGATGTGGGAGTTGTAAATTCAGGATGAATTCATGAGTAGAGACTAAGTTTCTCTTATTAACCAACTTGAAATGTCTCTTGAAAGTATTACATTTTATCCATGTTCTAACATTGTAACTGTGCATAATCCTTGGTTTTTTTTTTTAGTTAAATTATATATTTTTTCCACTCTTGTAGGTCATAGTTAACTTGGAAATCCAGACTCAAATCTAGAAAGATTTTGAGTCTGGCCCTCACCGATACACCCTTCCTACCCAAGGAGCGGCATTAACTTTGATAATAATATCGAACAGCCGACGAGATTGTTTTCAACCTTATAATAAACGAGTAGCCACAGCTAAATAGATATGCTACTATTCGACCTACAACTCCATCAAAGATTCATTGGATCCAGCGGCTGCCAGCCACCTGTCAAAATGTTTGCAAAGCAGGGGCTCCTTTGCCAAACCAAGAGATTTTCCGCAGCCTAAAATAACTGACGTGTGAGGACCACCTAAAGGACACCGCCATCAGGCTAACCCTAACCCTAACCCCACAAAACTGAATAACTGCCAAAAGTGTTACCTCTTGCCTTAATCCATTTATACATACTGTTAGATCACTGTATAGAGAATTCATAACCCAGGTACTGAGATTGATTCATTATTGATAAGTGTACTGACAAATTAATAATTGGCTTCTGGAGTTATTAATTTGATTAGTCACTTTCCTTCAAAGTGAAGGTGGTGCCCCTAAATTTATGACGAGTGCAAACATTTCCAAAAGGTACTTCTCCTACAAGACTGTATACACCTAACAAACAGAAACTGTACATTTCCTGTGAAAATGGAAATGTGTTTTGAAAAAGCACAATGCACGAATCCATTGTAAATTGACATGTTTGCACACAACAAAATTATACTTATAGTGCCATATGTATATGTGAAGTCAGCTTTCACAGCTTTCTTAGAAACTGATTCAGGGTCTGGCTGGGTGTTGATTGAGGAGCTGGGCTGCAGAAACTCTGGGTCACTGGGCAGCAGATATTCTGGATTGCTGGGCAGCTGAGGCTTGGGGTCGCAGGGAAGCTATGTCTCTAAAACACTGAGTAGCTTGGGGATTGATGCTTCCTAGAACTACGCTGCCCTGTCGGGGCTCTGACCTCTAGATTTCTCAGGGAAATAGCCAGGCAAGCTCCTTTGAAATGGGAAAACTCCAAGTCATCAGGGACAGGATCAGACAGGAGGCTAGCTGGCTTGGGGTCAGGAGCAAACGGGAAGCTAGCTGACTGGGATACTGGCTGGAGGCTAGCAGGCTGGGAAGTAAACAGGAGGCCAGCAGACAGAGGTGTAGACTGGGAACTTGCAGGCTGCAGGCTCAGAGCCCCAAGGTTAAGTGACTGTAGTGGTGGCTCGCTGCTGGAACGCTGTGGTGGAGATTGGTTGCTAACATGGTGGAATCAGGCTGGCAGCTAATAGGCCGGATGCTAGTCAACTTGGATGGTAGCTTGAGAGTGGGTCCATTACTAGGTGACTGGAGTGCAGACTGGTATCTATTAGTCTGGTAGGCAGACTGAGAATCAGGGTGAAGACTAGCAGACTGGAAGTTAGCAGAGTTGGAGGCAGAGATGTTTAAAGGCCCTTACACAGCAAGCTGACAGTTGGCCATCAGTCAAAGTTGGGCCATTAGTGAGCGTCTGCTGCCCTCACCAGTGTCATGTGTCCCACACTGTTGCCCCATCGTCTGCTCTTTTTTTCTTTCGGCCGATGCAACACGTTGAATCGGCATTGGTGACAGCAGAGCCCCTTGGTGAATGAAATCACTCTGACGGGTAGTTCAGCTTAGCGCATAAGAAGAGAAAAGGAAGTGAGGAAAGTAAACAAAGAACTAAAGTCAAGAGAGAGTGAGACCAAAACAAACTTGTTGCATAAGGTAAGATAATTTTTCTTTTGCCACTGAGCTCTTTAGCAGAAAGGGTTTGTGATGGTTTGTGTTATTGTTCACTGGGTAACTAGCATCAAGCTGGTTTTCTGGTTTCCCTTTTAAAATGACAATTACTGTCATCTGCTGGTATAGAGAGTTATTTCCTCTCACACAGGCGCATAACGTAAGTGCTGACTCTCCATTGGCTACAGTCGTCATGGTGTGTTCATGTGCAACGTTTTTGACTGAGACAAGGCAGCATCAGACAACGCAACAGGGGCCCTTCTTTGCCACTTGTTCTCTTTAGTTGGTTTGGTGTGTCTGGGCCTTTAAAAGTCTTGAAGTCACTCTGGTAAAGAGCTTCTTAGCCAAGGTTTAATGGTCAGTTTCCAATGTGCTATCCGCAGAGCAGCCGCTGTGTACTCCCTACTTGGGGCTCTCTTTCACTCTCCTTACAAGCAAATGAGGTTATATATGTCAGTTCATGAAGTTCTTCTTGAACAAGTCTGTGTAGTCCCTACTGACCACTTTGTACTAGGGCTGTCAAAAGCACCATGAAATTGAGTTAGAATATTTTCTAATTAATTTAGTAGAGTTTGAATAATATTCGAATGTATTATTATTTTATTTATTTATTTATTTATTTTATTTTTCACAAAAACCCCCACAAAAAATAAGCTGCTTACTGCTGCCGCAATATGAATGTGACACTCGGATGAAAACACCCGTTCTGACCGCAATGTTTGGAAACTTCAGTGCCCCTGTAGTTTTCCACCACGAGTGGATCCTGGTCGGCTCGTAGCGGTGTCTCATTCTGGTAACTTTTCATCTCTTCTTCAAAAAGGGTAGGCAGGGAGGCAGCAGGTGCAACACTCTCCCTGTATGTCTCCCCGAACAGGGGAGTTTAATACTGTTTCTGTTGCAGATCTGTGGGTGTGGCATTGGAAATTAATTTGATACGGCACATGTCACCACTTGTGATGCTTTAATGTCATCTCCCCGCATTGTAAAAAAAAAACCCCTGAGAAATCCACTGAGAAACATCCTGAGGTGCGTGACATTTTGGAAAAATCTGAGGAGTGCAGTGGGACAGAAAGGCCAACTGGACTGGTTTAATTAACAATGGGCTATGCTTTATGAATGAACAAGCATAGAAGTTAAACATAGAGCAGACTAAAGGGAGGACTTTGCAGTGTACAAGACTCACAGATTGGCGTTCAGATTCAGACAGTTGAGCACGACAACAAACTAACACCCTCCAGATGAGAACGTCAACAACCACTGTGTTGCCTTACAGAGTTGGGTTTGCTGTGACGTGGTGTAAAAACTGTGCAGTCATTCCTTTGTTGCAGTATGTGTTTGTAGCTGCTGCTGCTGTGCAGTTTATATCAATTTACTCTGCTGCTGGTCCTATAAGAAGTGTCGGATTATATCATTTGTGTGGCTTAATATTTATTTTTGAACTGGCTGGTGCCCTTTGCATTTGCCTATACTGCCTATGCTGCGGGCCAGCACTGATCTTGAGATAACACAATTAAAGAAATTAATTGCAAGCACAGCCGTTTTTGGCTCCCATACTGAAACTGAAACAGGCAGAAATTCAGTATTATTATACATGTCTTGAAAGGGAACACAGATCACCTCTCAAACCATAACAGACAACTTGAGTGACAAGAAAGGCAGGCAGCCCATCTACAGGTCACCCTTTAATACCAACAAGTGAGACATAAATACCCTATCCAACTAATGTAGTAGGCCTCACAATGCCATGACGGAAAAAGGAGGCCTAGGCATTGTTGACCTTGTGAGAGTATTCCCTCTTCTCTCCTCCAATTTCTACTATTAAAATAAATATTTAATAATAAATATAAATATAGAATATTTTCAGTTGTACTCACTTGTACTCAGAGGCTTTGTTGTACTGTTGACCTGAAGGCCTGAAGTTGTTTGCTGAGAGAGACAGAGGCACTTGTGTTGACTGCAGCAGTGTTGTTGTTCAGACTAACTTTTAGTTTCATTTACTGTGAAGCATGTGACTGTGAGACACTCCTCTCTATGTTGCTCCACCTCCTCATGCAGGTCCACTGGTTATCTTCTTCTATCTCTTTCAGGTTTGGGAGTGATTATGGTGACCTTTCCCCAAGATGAACTGATTTTATCTCACAGTTAAATTACAAATTGAAACTTTTCACCTGAAATGTCACATTTGATTTCACAATAATGTCTACACCATCAACTGGAGGACCCAGTTCAGTGTTACTTTTACTGCAACTATGTGGCAGACAATTTGACAGTAGTGACATATCTTTAGTAGTATACCACTAATTAAATTAAAACTAAAACAGTCCAAATAGTAAGTTTGTATCATGGTTGTTAAGAGAAACACTGTGGGATGCAACAGACTTCATAACTTTGAAGTTACTTTAAATGAAATCCAAGAGGTTATAACAGGTATGTGTGAAAAGCCTCATTTCTTTTGGAAAAAGAGAAATTGTTATTCATACAACTGGGAACATATGAGATATTAATGGTAATTTGGTAATTTTGTGTCTTTTGTCATCATTTTGCTTCTCTTTGTGGTTGATTTGTGTATCTCTGTGGTAATGTTTCTTTTTGTGTCTGTTTGAGGTAATTTTGTTTAGTGTGTTTCATTTTTTGTCATTTTGTGGTTGTTTTGTGTTCTATGTAGTCATGTGTCTCTTTGGGATAATTTTGTCTTTTTTGGTTGTATTGTGTCTGTGGTTATTTTGTGTTTCTTTGCAGTTATTTTGCATCTCTTTGTGGTCATTTTGAGGCTTGCTGGGTTCTTGTTGAGTGATATTTTGCTAGTGAAGACCAAGGGCGCCCCTACCTATTTGGGCCCTAGGCAAGTGCCCAGTAGGCCTGTTCATTAAGCCATCCATTTTTAAAGAGGACTTCAGGACTATCATGTCCTCTGGTGGCCTTTTTGGAGGCATTCTGCTCATGATAACAAAGGTTTTCAGGCTTCAATATGAAATGTTCATTAGTTGTGGCATAAATTATTAAAATGAGAGACACATATGTTGCAAAATTCCTTCTTCAGAAACAAATTAAAAAACTCCAGTTCTCTTTTTATGTCCAATATCAAAAAATAAGCCTATTAAATTAGTTGAATTCATTTATTTTTGAAAATGCATCTTAACATTATGTTAGTAACATAAAAAAACTGCATGTTAAGCAAAGCAATAACCACATAACCAGAGTGACAGTGGATCTTTTTTAATGACAATTAGTTAGTCTGATACCTTTTTCTGTTATATGTAAAGCACTTTGAATTGTGTTGCTGTTGAAAGGTGCTGAACAGACAACCTTATCTCTCTTTGTCTGACCAGCGTGATGACAGGAGAGATCTAAGAGTTTCTACCACCATTATTACCATGAGGTATTTTTTTGAACCTGAACATCGTGGTAAAATCTTCCTAAACAGAAACCCTGCTTTCTCAAGTCAGCAAAACAAGGAAAGAATATCTCTTGGTTGGCTGGGAGGTTCTCCTTTACAAAGCCATGTTGTACTTGTTTCCCATCATCAGACAGATTGAGTCAGGATTTTACACTTTCAGGATCAACATGATCTTATCCCCACTTGTCCTATTTTGCCACTTTGGCATAAGTCCCAGGAGTCACTAAAATGATGCTGGGGGCGGCCTTTTGAATTGTATCTTAATGCAAAAGGGGTCAGTGGTAAGAGGTGGTATGCTGTGGTTAGGAAACGATTACAAATGTCAAAACACCCGACTCTGAGTTGCACAAATGCCCAACTGATGTTGTTTGTCGATCTCGGAAACTGGTCTCCTGGGTCAAAGTCCTGTGTTTGTTACACCCATCCAAATCCCCTCTCGTTGTAAGTGCCAGCTGTTAATTGTCCCTCAGTGTCGGATATCAATATATCAAAGTGCCATTAAAAATGAGACAATGTGAAAACTGGAGTTCAGGTTAGCACAGAAACATATTGTCTCTTGCTTTACACTATAAAAAGACACAGAGTTTTCTCACTTTCACATTGATCCTACAAGTAATACTCTAATATCTTTACAGCTATCTGTCACATTTGGTGTCTTTAGCAAAGGTACATAGAGCACCCACTCTGCCAACACTGTTTTTCGTGTATGTTCAACCCATGTTTCAGTTTCTAGAACATTCCTCAGCATTACACTCACTGTACATTTTCTATAATACCCTCCATCATTGTTCAAGTAAGTCCTGAACGTCACAGACTTTATGTCCACCTGCGTCACCTCAGTCATTGCTCTCAGGTCGTACTAAGGAGAACCTTTTGGAGGGGTCTGGGATAAACCACCTCTCCCACAGATCCAAGTGGACAGCAGGGTAATTCCATGGTTTAAATGGACCGTTCCAGTGCAGCAAGCGTGCCTCCTCTAGGAAACTCTCTGAATAGCGGGCGTCTGGACTCCAGCCTGGACACATGGGAAAACTTTCTGAAATGGTGGCGCTACAATATTTCAGATTTCTTTATGTCCGATTGTTGGTTGATTGATTGATAATTACACTTCAAATTGCTTGCCATTATTAGTATGAATGTAATCTATTACGTCACTTTTCTATTTTGATATGTTAATTACTATTTTATTTGCACAAATTTATAATGTTGTAAGTGTTCCACTGATGTGTTATGTGTTGAATATTCCTCTGTATGTGAACAGGAGTGATGATCTTACCTAGGTGTCTGACGTGCCACAGTGGGTCCATTGTTGTGTATTTGTCATGAAACACTATTAGCATGGGTGGAGTCGCAACGCCTCCTGCCATGGCACTGCTGTATATGTTATGCCTGGTGGAGAGGAGGTGGAAAATTTCTGATCAGGTAGATGCTTCTACTGCTCAACAACTCATAAAAAATAGAAACATAAAAATGTATGTTACAGCCTTCAGGCATAAAATGGAGCTCAAAGTCCTGTGACACTGAAAAGAAAAGAGCCAGAGACAGAAAAATGTAAGTAATACAATAATATTACTTAATAATGAATTAATTGAAGGATTAACTGGTGCTTTAACTGATGTTAAACACAGAAATATAAAGTGGTGCTAACCAAAAGCTATGTTGGAATGTAGGAACATATTAGAATGAGTGAAAGCCGCTGATCAGCAGGCAGTGTCTCAGTGAGCAGCTGACAGGTAGAGAGAGACAGCTGGAAAAAACTTTGTGTACAGACAGCATATTTTCCGATCTAACCAGCGGTGCCCCAAAGTGGGGGCAAGGGGGGACCATTGAAGATCAACATTACTGTCTTTAAAAGGCTGTGGTGCACAATTGTTTTTAGCTAGTGCAAAGGCAGCTAAACAAGACATCCTAAGGCATCCAATGATACCAACCATCGTGGCATAGTTTGTTGGGAAGACGGCTAAATAATGCTCCAAAGTTAGGCAAAATTTTGGTGAGTGAACAGCTGGCATGGCCATTTTCAAAGGGGTCCCTTGAACTCTCTCCTCAGGATGTCTGAATGAAAATGAGTTCTATGGGTACCCACAAGTGTCCCCTAAAATTTGAAAAGTCTTGTTTCCAGCAAATGTTGTGTTCCTGACAATCAAAGTATGCCTTCAAATTAAAGCTGTATATTTGTCTTTTTAAGAAAAGGACAACCAACCTATTTGAAGAATGACGGATTGTCTAAAATGTACAGATACATAACACATTAAAACAAGATAGTTTTGGAACTCAAAATGTTACCTGCATTAGTTTATGGGCATCAGATAATTAGTAATAATAACTTTAGGATAACAAACCAAAGTCTATTAGTATGCGACTCCTTAACTCTCCATATTAACATGCTAGCCTACATATTATGCAGCGTAATAGAATTTCTTAAATCCAGTTATGGCTTTTGGTTTTGGTGCCACCACTAGATTTTCAGTGGCCCAATGTGGCCACCCCTATAAAAAATTCTAGGGGCACCACCTCACCTAACTCAGTGAATGGAGGGTTTATTTTAACAAAACCAGAGTTGGTGATTATTGTAACAGTGGAAAGACAAACCAAGACAGTTTTATTGAGATTTATTTAGTTTCTGTCAAGTTTAAAAGAAGAGTGTTTAGGATGAGTTAACACAATTAACAAGACAGTTAAGCTGGTCTTAGATTGTTGAAAGAGGGAAACTTGAATTCAGAAAGTGTTTTTCTTCACACTTAGTCCTCTGGCTTGAAATGTGGCTGTTGGTTTTGATCTTGATTCGTGTTGATACAATGGACTTCAATGATAAGAAGCTTTTATAGTTAAAAAAGTTGTATCAAGATATCCATAGAAACTTCTCAAAACACTGCAGCATCATCCACTCCTCACTGTACTCCTGCTTGTGACAATACCACCATATCATACAGACACATAGTAAGGGAACATAAGCAATTTGAGATTTTTGGATGAACAAAAATGTATAATCACATATTGTCTTCATAGCAGTTGAAATTAACACGCTGTTGACAGATGAAATGACGGTAGGGGTGAATGCATTTAAAAAGCAGGTGCCAGGCTGGAAGGATGTCTGTACCACAAGAAGATATGTTATATTTTCACCTTGTTATGTATGTTAGAAGTTTTGTATCTGTGCATCAACGAACTGGAGACCCTAAGAAATTTTTATTGTGAAACACACTTTTGATCTTTTTTGAAACAGGAATCTCAGAATAAGGACTAAAAATTGCATGTGGTTTGTTGTTTTGTATGTAATTAAATATTCCATTGTTTTTATACAGCTCTACTCCGCCAATAAATTACTGTATTTTTTTCACTATACGAAGTCCTTCGAAAGCAGTTCTGCAGTGTTTAACTTTCCCCAGATCTTTATGTTTAATATGAACATGTGGCAAAATGCAATGTGAGGTTTTCCAGAAGCTGATGGTCACTGCGTGTACCTGAAATTCTCCTCCATCCATTTCTCCAGCTGTTTGGTGATCTTCTGTTTCTTCCATTCGCTGATATCTGCCACAAAAACTCCAGGGTTGAAAGAGCATTCTCTGGGGTTGATGCCCAGGTCTTTAACTTCCTTTTTCCTGTAGTCTAGGAAGCCCATGTAGGTTGTCTAGGGGACGAGCTCAGAGGAGAGGGCAACATTTCAATAACCAACGTGTCTTTTCAAATTCATAACATTCAGTATCGATTCCTCAAATGGTCCCAGGTGAACAAATAGCATTAATGATAAATTTTTACATTAATTCACATCTAAGTTGAATTATGTAATAATAAAATAATACTAACACATATGCATACACATACACTGCATGCTATCCATTTAGCTAAATGAAAAGTTGGAGCAATTCACATTCATTTTTGCAGGAGACCCACTGCTGTATTTGATTTTCAGACAATCAGTCATTGTGTTGCCTCTTTATACTGGCAGGTTAATACACAAAGTGATATGATAAAAGACATAGACATCCACCTGCATGCCGATGCTGCGCACCATCTCATGTGTGGAGGGCAGGTCACAGTCAGTGGAGAAAGCAGCAGCATGACCTGACTTTAGTTTGATATTAAACAGATCCTTAATGTCACCTGAAAAGCAGGAAAGGCCTGTAAGTTGTATACTCTATACTTGTTAATTGCCATCAGTGGGAAATATCAGATTTGTCTCTTTGCTCTTTATAGTTTAGTTCATCTTTTCAACAAAAAGCCACTGCACAAAGACATAATTAATACAAAATCAATTTTCAATAAGTGCGGATTTGGTGTTTATCTATGAGAAATTCTCATCCATTCAGGTGAAAGAGTTTAGTTAACAAAAACATATGACACAAAAAACTAAAAATCTAAAACATTTAGAATTTTTAAAAATGTTTTATTATAGAGTTTTATAATTACACATAAGTGTGTTAAGTCTGCTGTAACAGCACGGGGATCGATAAATTCCGATCCAATATATAATGTTCACTCTTATCGTGTATTCATAGCCCTATGTCTCCACTAAATGTCAATTAAATATGTTTTTGAAAATTTCTACAAACAACAGAGAGAAGAAAACCTACTTGGTGGAGGTTATTATCTGGCCTGGTAAGACCATCATGATGACATGAGCTAAACAATCTGTTTCACTCCATGTATCAGTCTGGACTCAGTGCCGCCCCGCCTCATATCCAGAAATTAAAAATCCAATCTGGGCCAATCAGAGTTGTACACCATAGATGACAACATAAGCAGCCAATCAGGGATGCAATGTACTTTGATGATATAAAATGCAGGCCGCAGCTTGCAAAACTGTAATGGCGGCTCCTGAAGCAACAAATGCTAACTCTGTTTATAGAGTAAAAACAGCAAAAAGTGAAGTTATTACAGAAGAGTCAATAATAAGAAAGAAACAAGAAGACACTTTTGTCTTTCTTCCGACTGGAGTTGGCAAAAGCTTGATTTATCAACTGGCTTCGCTGGTGATCAAGATGTTCCCTGGCGTTTTGTTCTGCAAATTGTCTGTCAAGGTGAGTACTCCCGCTCACCGAAAGTGTTTGGGGCAGCACAGAGTCCACCGATATAGAGTGCAAAACAGACTGTTGAAGCTCACGTCATCAGGATGGTCTTACCAGGCTAGTTATTATCATTACAGGTAATATCTATATGGTGACCTATTTGTAATGAAATCTAGCAAGTCCAACTACAACACAAAATAAGTCAGCAAGTTTTTGGATTCCCTGGAAAAAGGCAGTTCCAACAGTAAAGCCACTTAATCTGAAGGATACAAAGAATGATTTTCACATGGGCTCCTTCCTACCACGGAAAAATACATACCCTGCACAATGACATCATCGTCTAAGTATATCACCCTCTTATGGTTGATGTCAAGCAGCGGGAGGTAAAAGCGCACAAAGTTGAGCTGCAAAGCAAAAGCAAAGATGTTACACCTGTTTGAAATTCTATGTTTAGATCGTTGGGCCTCACACTTTCATCTGTGCACGTATAAGGTATGTACTCACTGGATGTAGCAGATCAGGTCGAGAGGAATCTGGCTTCACCTTTCCTTTTAGAACCATGGGGTTAAACTCCAGTATCTTATATTTGATGCCTTTCAGTTTGGTCCTCCCTATGTACTGTCTGGGAAGATGCACAGAAAGTAAGATTGGGTAATTCAACACAAAAGTCATCAGGATATGCAGTAATACTGAGATGTCAGGTGTCCTAAAAAAAACACCCATACATCCTCTCCATATTTATGGAGATTACAGATTAACACATTAACAACACGACAGCTAAAAACAGGCTCAATCCATTCAGGGGCACAAATCACCTGTAAATTCCAAATTATCATATCATTTAAACAAGTGACAAACCTCGTCAGTCTCACGGCATCACGAAGAGTGACAATATAAAAGAACACACGGGCGTCTGTGTTGCTATAGACACTGTTGATGGTTGCCATGGTTGCACCGATTCGTTCTTCCGATGCACATATGATGATGGGGATGACATTATTCGCCTTGGACGCTTTCACTGCAGGAACCTGTGCTGCACCTCCAAGGCTCTTCCAGTGATCTGAGAGAGTTTTACAAGAAAAAGGAGTAAATACTGCATTTGTTGGGGACTATTTTCAGCTGTGGATGAATACACATTTGGTGTTTGGCACAAATGAATAGTATATATGAGGCTTTATAAACACCACACAATATTCTGACACAATTGAATGAGCTCTGTAAAGACCTGAATGAAACCTGTGTGGGTGTACCTGAGAGTTTGGGCCGAGCGGAGGCTCTGAGAAGAGTACTGTGCAGTAGGAGACACACCATCAGTACCAGCAGCCCCAGGAGGATCCGGTTAACTGAGACGCAGAGAGAGGCAGGAATCAGTCAGTCAGAGGTTTGACAAGTGCAGCGTCTGTTAAAATGACTTAAACCTGTATTCTTTCTGACTGCCAGCAGGGGGCGACTCTACTGGTACCTCAATTGAAGAAATTGATGTTTTAATGTTGTCATGCTGTCATGGAGAAGGCCTGAAACTAGTGATTGAGACAATTATCAGGAAAATGTAAGCTATGATCATGTTTAGAGTGAAATATATGATAAAGCAGGGTAACGACAAGACACTAACACGGTGGTGTCCTCAGATTCTTAAGCTATGTTCACATTACAGTACTTAATGCTCAATTCCAATTATTTCTACTATCTTTCTGCCCAGACTGTTCACATCCATGTTTAAAGTGACCCATATCTAACATCAGTGTAAACCTGCCCTTAAACGCCTCACATGTAACCAATAACATCACACACATGTGTGTTGGAATGACAACAAAAAACTGAAACATTTGCAAAACAGGCATCATTTCTGTATTAGGAAGGTCCCATGACTTCATTCTGCAGAATAATTAGCCATGTGCTTCTGGTTGGGACAGTGCGTAGCATATTTTCAGAGAAATGGGTGTTTCGGGATAACGGGCTACTGTACAAATGAGCTTTTGGTCCATTGGCTTTGTTAGCAGCTACTGCTGGTAGTTCTGTGGAGAGAGACGTGGATGTGGCTGGGAGAGAAAATAGGAATTGTGGGGTCGTAATGTGGGGGGTTTCACAGGGGCACGAAACCCTCCGTTTGGCAGTCAGACTCTATTGACTGGTGACTGGAGCAGCAGTGAACGTAGCCATTGTCAGATCCACCCCTCGCTCCTCCACAGCGTTACCGTCTCGTCCAAATATGGTCACATCTGGCTCCAAACCCCAAGATGGGGATGGCCAAAATGCCAAACTTAAGGTTTCAAAATTGTAGTCTACAAGTCAATGGGTGATGTCACTGGTGGCATCCACTTCATTTAAACAGTGTACGGTCTTGGCTCAAGCCTCATACTCAATGAACAGACATGAGACTATTCGATGTTATCAGACTCACTGCAACAAAAATAACATGTCAAACTATTCTTTAAACAATTTAGTATTTGTCATTACATCAGCATAAAGCTGTGTAAACTGTGAATTGATATGTTTTCCTTTCATAGCAGCAGAAATACTTATTGTGTTTCATCGCTGGAGTTGCATTTTCTCCATCAGCTGCTTGTCAGGCAGACCAGAGAGCGAGGAGAATCAAATACCCATCTGCAACCAGTTAACTGGCTGCTCATTCAGGTGCAATAACTACTTCTGCATAGTATTCTACCTGAGCAGCACTTCTACACTCAAGTATTCAACCAATCCTTCACTGGCATAAATATTTGGGTTGCAAGTGTTATCAGCTGTGGATGGAGTAATTTTCTCAAGGAGTAAAAATCTGGAGGCAAAATTAAAGCATTAAAACCAAATCTACAAGATTTTAACTTGTTGCAGTTTGATTGTGGAAGCAAACTCCTAAGTCTTTTGAATTCAATCCAAACTGCTGTTCACACACTGGATGAAATCGTTAAAGTTAACTCCTTACAGCCTGTCATCTGGTTACCTCATCACACCCTCCCCCAGCGCACGCACACACACACACACACACACACACATAAATGGTGCACGTGCATGGAAGTTGGATGCATTCCTGGAGAGACATTCGAGGGTTCTTTTACTGGCAATGTCTGCAGCAGCTAAATCTCACTTTATACACAAAGAACAGTTGATACTATAGGTGATATTTGAGTGTTAACCCACAAGTAGACAATTGAGTTGTTAGTGTTGCTGTCCATCAACACAAAGAGAAGGCATTTCTTATTTGTCTCGTGTAAATGTGTCTCCCCCAAGGCCATAAATCAGTCATATTATAGTTGTATTACACTTTGTCTTCACTTACTTTTTCTCAGGAGAGCCATGTTTCATGTTTGCTTCTAATGACATCTGCAAACACACACACACACACACACACACACACACACACACACAGAAAAAGAGAGAGCTATTTAGTTACAAGAGAAGATGAAAGCTGAACTATTCCTTGGCCTTAATTATGATGTATTGAAAGATTTGGCCGTACCTTCAGTGGAGTATTAACAAAACCTGGCAACACAGCTAAAAGTGACTTGAGTCTTTGTTATTTATTAAGATGACAGATCTCAGATGTTTTTGCATAAATGTGAGGAAAGAAACTGTGAAAAAAAAAAAAGTTCACAACATGGCAGAAGAATCGGGTTTTACTGTGTCAACCAGCTTTTTTTTTTTCTTATTACCTTCGCCTGTGAAAGGACATCATCACATGACTACACTTTACAAGTGTGGTTTCTATAAGTTTACTTTCACATACATCCTCGCTGGAGAAACTCACCTATAAACAGAACTTTTTTCATAACATACATATATTTCAAGTCATATAATCAATACTCCCAGTCTATTCAAATTCCCCAATGTTTGTTTGGGGCACACTTAACTTTCACTGGCAAAGGAAGTTCCTCATAAAAGCCCAGACACACCAGACCAACATAAAAAAACCTGTGACAACAAAGGCCGACTGTTGCGGCACCTCATGCTGCCTGTGTCTCAGCCAAAAAACAGCCAAATACTTGAAGGGCCCATATGATTTGTTCTTTCAACATCAGGTTGTGTTGTCAATATGCTAATTTGCTAACTAGCATCTTGAAACTGTCCTATTGGTCTTCCGGTTCCCTTTTTTAAATGACAATACAGACTACTGCCACCTGCTGGTATCATGGATGTATAAAGAGCAACATGAAGCCAAAATGGTTCAAATGCGGTGGTTAAAATGACCTGTATAATCAGCACTGCTTCCACACTGTGTGGCCCATAAAGCAGGTACACTACAGACTTCCACCTGCTGAGCCGGCTACTTCCGATTTAGCAATCTGTTAACTTGAATAGGTATAAAATGATTCGACTGAGCAACTCTTCTAAACTTTTCAAATGTCACCGAAACAAATTGATTATACCCCAATAGTTAATTCCTGGTGGTTGCGATGTACAAAAAATGTACCCATCGATTTACAGATATCTCTTTCACCATGTAAGTCAATGGGACAAAGTTTTTTGGGGGGCCACAGTGCATTACATGATGGTGTAATTACCCTGTTTGACAACTATGACAATTCGCATCAAAGCCCGGCAAAGTTCCTGAGAGCCTGAATGCTACAGTATGGAGAGTTATTTCCTCTCATGCACGCACAGAACATACGTGCTGGCTGGCCACTGGCTGTAGTGTTTGTCATGTGTTCAAGAGCAACTCTTTGGCTGAGACACAGGCAATGTGAGGTGATGCAACAGTCTGCTTTGGTCACCACTTGTTCTATGATGCCAGTTTAGTGCAGTGGTTCCCAAATGGTCCCGCCACAGGGTCCAGATTTCTCCTTAATCATTAGTTCAAGGTCCACACCATTTATAACATTCGGCATCATACATGTGTTTGGCCATGTTGTCAAGCTAGTTTGCTGTCTCTGTTAAGTCCATTATTCACTCACTCTACAGCAGGAATCTGCACTTCAAAATAAAAGCTTGCATTTGGACTTTTGGACCATGACCCACCAGTTGGTAACCACTGGTTTAGTGTGTCTTGAGCCTCAACACATCACAAAGACTACAGCCAATGGCCATCTAGCATGTTCGTTCTACACCTGCATGAGAGCAAATAACTTTCAACACCACTCCAGCCTGTTTTCGGTATTCAAAAAGAGAAACTGGAGGACCAAAAGGATGGATGTAAGACACTAGTTAGCCAGTTAGCACATTAGCAACAAAACCCGACGTTGAAAGAACAAACAATATATACCATGCCCTAGCAAACAATTGCAAACCATTTTTGCTGAAGAGCTCAGTACCTTAAAGTAATCTTATCTTATATATTTCTTATATTATATATATTTTGACTGTAGTCTTTTGATTGCTTTCGGATCAGAGTGATCTCTCTCAATGAGGGGCTCCGCTACTGATTCAACATCCTGAATCGTCAGGAGAGCTGCCGACAAGGACCAACGGTGCAGGACACACCACAAAAACTAGAGCGACACATGCTCACCAACAGCCCAGCACCGAACAACAGCTGACAGTTGGTCTGGGGTGCAGAGCCCTAGCCACAATGTTTCTCCAAAACCTATAAGTACTGTACGGGTTCTCTGTTTCATATATGCCTCTGTGGTAGAAAGCACTTCTCTACAATGATTGCATGCTTGCTGCAGTAGGAGCAGTTTTATAGTGAAGGATGCGTTGAACAAATGCAAAGAGAAGCCACAGGTTCTTTTGGTCAAGGTGAACATTGTGATCACAGCCAGGATTTCTTTCAATCTCAAGATTTGTTGAAGACTCAAGAAATAGAGAAGCTGTGAACTCATCAGGGTCCTTGCATGGGCAGACTTGATTAAGACTTGTTGATAAGGGGTTGGTCAGTTTGCCCCAAAAACTATAGTCACAGTGAAACTCATCACAAAGAGAAATCATTTGAATTTCGATATATGAATGTACATGCAGAAACATATGTGACACATATTTTTCATGTATTTCTGTGTGTGACCGTGACAAGCTGTCAGTGTGACCTCACTGAGGTCCAAAGCCAGGAGTCACTGGACAACACATGTGGCTGTATTTTGTCCAAAACCTTCCACCACATCCTTCCTGGTGCCAGGGCTTCATCAAGGAATCTGTTTGCCTTCAAGCCTTTTAAACGTTTATATAACAACAGAAGAGAAATGCTTACACAATGAATGATGAAACAGACTCCTAACTGTGCCACAGCTAAAAAAATCCATCTGATTTACCCCAATCTCCATCAAGTCCTCTCAGAATTAACAACTGGGTTTCACTGACCTTAACACGTCAATGTAAAGTGGTGAAACCTCAGCACGCTTTAAGTTGCTCATCAGCTTCACACCCACAGTAAACTTTTCTGCTTCACCACATCCTCTCTAAAACCTGCGACTCTTAACTGAACTAGAACAAGACATGCATTTTGTGTCGTGCATTTGGTTCTGGTTTGTTTGTCGCTGTTTAGAGCAGCCCTAAACATCTGGAGCTGATTAGCCTCTGATACTGAGCTGCCTACACGCTGTCTCTGGCCTGCATTCGAACAATTGGTTATCCACTCAAGGCTCTCCAAAATGCAATGCACTGAACTAATGTGATTTTTTTTCCAATCTCAATGCATTTATAGTCACATTGCCAGTGCTTTTGTAGAACTACAGCACCAGATATGAACTCTCACATGATTTAATGTATCTTCTATTCTTCATTTTTGCGAATTTGTTAGATAAATGATGCTAAATATTAGTATAGACGGCTCTCTCTCTCTGTTTCATTATTTTCCTTAAATGGTTTCTTAAAAACATCACTGAGGACTTAGGCCACATTAATACTTTTTGATTAAGCAGCAACGAGCTACAAAAGTTTCTAAAAGTTTGCATGCAACTGTGCATGTGTCACTGTGTAACTGTGTGTGTGGATGGGGGTTGGGGGTCCAAACCAAACCACTTAAGTCATCACGCTGCAAAAAATTCCTAACCTGGATAGAGCAGTTAAGCTTTTAAGGACTAAAATTAACACACAACAGAAAAGATCTGAAACATTTCATTAATCTGCAATAGAGTTCAATTGTTTTGAGGAGCTTTCTAAGGAATATATATTAGAAACAAGCTTAAAGGAGACAAATTACTTCCCTTAGGAAGTGCAGTATCAGACAACAACAGCCACAACAACAAACAAACAAAACCCAGAACCCTAATTCCAGATAAGTATTGAACTGCATTTACACAAGGGTAAAACTGCGTCATGCATTATGCATTTACAGATTTTCCAATTGCTATTATATTAAAAAGTTGCATCCAGACATTTTTTTAAAGTTAGATATTTTTTTCAGTGTAGCAGGACAAAAAGTTCTCATGTCTAACTAATACAACAGTGCTGCAGAAATAACACAAATAACACTAATCTATACAAAACACAGCATATTTCACAAAATACAATAGATTTATATGTTCAAACCCGCATTCAGTAAAGCATGCACTTTAGAGGACAGAGATAAATGAAGGAGGTGTGTCCCTTTTGGTCTGATCTGAAAGTTATCAGCCATGCAGCACAAATTAAAGCACGTGTAAAATGTCAGTAAAGAACTTACCAGAAAAAGAGGGTGTTGATTCTGGCCATTCTCATTCCTGTTGTTCATGGTCCATGTTGTAAAACCTCTGAGGACTGAGACTCACCCTCACCAACAATCCCACTTTTCTCCTCTCCCACCTTTTTTTTTCTCTGTCTTCCCTCCAGATGTGACTCATCTTGTTCACCAGCGCTCTGGTTCCTCGCTGTCATCTAACCACACGCTGAATCAGCTCTCCTTATTTCATGGAATTATAGGAGTGATACTGAATATTAATTTCTGCCGTGAGCGAGTGTTTGGTATATTTTTTTAGTAACGGCTGTAGGCTTGTTTCTTTAGGGACAATGTGAAAAAAAAACCCCTACAGTTAGGCTATTGAAAATTACATTGACACCACTCTATTTTAACCAGTGGGCTGTGACATATATTTAAAGTGAGTTTTATAATGCTAGCACAGGTCAAACATCTCATAAATTCATATCCTGGAGGAAATAACTGATTTTAAAACAGTTTGTGAGTGCTTTGGCGAGCAAAATCGCACGTCGCCACAAAAACTACATTTCCCATTATCGCTAGGGATTAGCTCTGCTGGAAAGGACGACTAAAACATATCCCTTCCTCAACACTTAAAGACTTCGCATTTGTTAGGCCTGTAGATGTTGGTGTCTAAATTATCTGTTGGTCATTAATAATGTTTCAATTATTCGAAACAATTATCAAATCATCCGCTTACTTATTTTTAACATAGTTTTTTTTTACCCTTGAGTGTGCATTTGAATAATACTAACTTAAGCTTGTTTGACCATTTACAGTAATGCTGTATGTATGGAAACATAGTCACAGTGTAAGGTCATGGCTGGCCATCTTATTTTTGCTGCTCGGTGAAAACAACCTAGTAAACACTTTTCTCCAGATCTGCTTTACTATTTACTGTCATTTTGAGAGTTAAGGTAACGTCCTGCAGCAGCGTCTGACTTCCACCCAGCATGGACGAAGACACTTTAAAGCTGCTGGTGAAGCTCACTCAGGAGGGACAGTTAAACTCTCTGGAGAAAAGGATAACGTCAGGCGGCTTGGCGGCGGCTCAGACTGTCAGCAGTAAACACTATGGTCGCTCCGGGGACACCCTGCTGCACTACGCTGCCAGGAACGGACACCTGGACATCGTGGAATATCTAATAACGCGGGTGGGCATGGATGTGGATGTGTACAACAACGACTACAAGAGGCCGCTGCACGAAGCTGCATCCATGAGCCACCAGGCGTGTGTTAGCTACCTGCTTCGGGCAGGAGCTCAGGTGGACAGTCTAAAGAAAGCTGACTGGTGAGGATGACCCTACTAACCTGGTGATTAGAACAACCATAAAGATAGTGTCATACATATGGCGCCATCTTTCGGCTTCAAAAAGGAACTGTCGTGCAACAAATGTCAGCTCCCTTCGATAGCTCAGTTGGTAGAGCGGAGGACTGTAGAGGCTGTAAGCTGAAATCCTTAGGTCGCTGGTTCGAATCCGGCTCGAAGGAGCACTCTTTTGATGCGACTATAAACCGATTATTTTACGAAATATATATGAAACTATTGTTCAAAGACGAGAAACACACAAACGAATCATGATAAAGACACAAAGAAAATCAGCGACAGCAGGCTCATCGGCAGGTCGTCAGTTGGCACCTCTCGTGTTATAGACAGAAGCGACTGTTCTTTCCTCATCATTTTTGGATTTGGGCCTCCCCGAAGCTGCAAATATTTTTCCTTGACCTTTCCGAAGTGACTGGCGGAAAATGCATGACCCTTTCTTCACCATAAATTAGTTATTAGATTTTAAATCTTACTCTTTGGAGTTTGAAAGTTAACGTTAAAGACGAAATCCTGGAGTTGAAAATAGCTTTGGTTTTCCACTCTTGTCATGCATGCTGGTTAGTCAGTGCAGGTGGTTTATTTTTGGTCAAATTTAAAATGACAAATAGAATATAAGGATTTTGATGAAATATCACTATTGAAAGTTCAGATTTGGTTATGTTTATTTATTTTTATTTTTTTCTGATTGAAGCATTTTTTGCATGTGATGTGTGTCCAAGGACTGCCAGAAATTCAAGAAAGTCCAATGGTAATTTCTGTTTTACAGTTTTCAACTATGATAAATGGTGTAATTTTCCCGAGAGCAGTTTTGGAAGGCATGCTTGCTTTTTTGCACCACCTCTCCTCATAAATATGAACAGTCTCTAAGCATCTATTACTCCCAAAAATAACAAAAACCCCAAATATCTATTTAAAGCTACTTCAGTAGAGGCCTCAAACACTCTTTCATTCATCTACATCAAAAAGTTTTGAAAAGTCTGCACAATATAAAAAGATTTAAAACCAGTTTCCCAAGGAGGGACTATTTTCTTGTCCAATCAAGTTGATCAATGCACAATGCCTCAACAAATTTTTTAAAAATAAATAATGTTGTATTCCACTCTCTAATATTTTGTGTGATAACATTTTTCTTGCATTGTGAAAAATGAGAAAGAAGAGTTTAATCTTTATACAGGAGGGACACAACCTAGGCATAATCACTTATTATTAGTGCTAAAGCACTATTTAATTATTTCACAATTTAAAAACTGAAGGTGAAGATGCCTTTCAACATGTGAAAGTCACAAAAACTACAATTTACAGTTGATCTGGTTTTATATATTTACTATATTTCCCAGAAAACTGTTGTGAAACACTGTTTTTAGCATGTGAACTTGTAATGTGACTGCCAACTCCAGTAGATGTGACTTGGTCAGAGTATGCGTCAGTGTTGCCTCCTCTCTCTCAGGACTCCCCTGATGATGGCCTGCACCCGAAGAAACCTCGACGTGATCCAGGAGCTGCTGTGCCATGGCGCTGACCCTGCACTGAAAAACAAGGACGGCTGGAACTCCTTCCACATCGCCTGCAGGGAGGGCGATCCTCGGGTCGTACAGCACCTTCTTCTTGCCACGCCGGATGTCTGGAGGACAGAGAGCAAGACGCGCAGGACACCACTACACACTGCAGGTAAAGCATCCTCAGATTCCAGTTTCCAGTGCATGGATATGTGACATGATGGATAAGTGGCTACACCCGGAGTGCACAAAAAAGTCCTGACTTCAGGCTGATTTATCTTCCCAGGATCTCTAAAGAAAAGTGGGTGAGAGACAAAAGTAATATCTGTTCTTTCGTGTTATTTTAGGGACCTTTTGAATTCATCGTCATATTCTAACTAACACGCCCTCTTCTCATCTTCCAGCGATGCACGGCTGTGAGGAGGTTGTTGGGATCTTGCTGGAGAGGTAGGTTGACATTTTGTACAGGGAATTCTATCCCCAAAACCAATCATGTGGAGAGTCAGATTTTATTTCAGTCAGCTCTGGAAACACCTTTATTTGTGACTTTAGATGTGTGCATCATCAGACCCTTTCCTCTGAAATTCTGGCTCCAAAAGCATTAGAATAATATATTCACCTGATAAAACTCATGAGTATGAACATAACTGTGGCTCAGAGGTTTATGGTTTGATAGCTGGTTTGGCAGGATTAATCTGGCAGGGTGAAGTAAAAGGACACTTTGACATATCACCATTTAAGTTGATGTATGACCAACTTGTTAGCAAGCTGTGGCCCATTTACACAACTAAGAGATACAGAGCAATATCAGCATTTGTAAAAATAAATAAAATAAAGATTAAAAAATGTGTTGAGAGGGACACAAAGATATAGCTGAAGAATCACCCACATGTAACTGATGGTTACAGTCCTGTTTATAGACTGCCAAAACTTGTGTCACGATAAATATAGATACATGAGCTTGATGAAGACTTGTAGCTCACATATAACCTTGTCTGACTGACCCTCACCTTCACTGGTCTTCTTCCAGATGTGGCTACACCCCAGACAGCACTGACAGCTGTGGAGTCACTCCTTTCATGGATGCTGTTAGGAACGGACACATTTCGGTGGCCAGGCTGCTCTTAGAAAAGCATCAGGTAGATCTAGGCTTTTCACTTCAGTAAAGCTTCAGCTTATGTAGAAATTGAGGTATGTATGTGTATTGTGTTGACATAACTTGTGTACCCTGTAGGCATCTCCAACAGCAGCTGACATTATTGGGGCCCAGCCAGTGCACCAGGTCGCTGTCACCGGCCAGGAGGAGGCGCTGCGGTTCCTGGTGCGGGACCTCAATGTAGATGTGAATCAGAGGGCAACTAATGTCCAGCTCACTGCCCTGCATTATGCTGCAAAGGTAACATCAGTGACTGGGGAGCCAAAACTGTTGGCTAAAAGTAACAGATAAATGGTTACACTAGTCACTAAAAGTAACGGGTAAGAGGTTGAAACTGTATTTAAAGATGGATAATGTGTCTCACCTTTGTCCCACTTTACTAAAATGAAGCCAGAACATCCCAGAGACGGGCGCTACCATGTTGCGCTTTTGGAGTCAGAGTCTGCGCAGTAGCATTTGGGAAGTTGAGCCACAGTATTGAGTTCCTGCCTATACACCTGTCCGACCCAGTGGAGAGCAGCGCCGTTAATTTTGAGCACAGAGGTTAATGCACACAGCTGTCAATCATGACATCACTCTCCCTTTCTATAGCATCAGGTAGTAAGTTATGGACAAACTTATTAGAAAAACAAAGCTTTGACCTTATTAGCAGGGCTCCAAATACTCTTTTCTATGCACTGAAGAGAGTATTAGCGTACTGTTAGCTTATCTGAAAATGCTTGTTCTGGTTCAGCGTTGGAAGTAGCACCCATAATTCACTCAAGGTATCATGTGGGCTAGGAGTAAGGTGGATACATTTTGCTTTCCATTTTCTACAGCTATTTCTCTCTTTCATCTGTCGTCTTCTTGCAAAACAAGAAGATTAAGACGGAGCTCTTCCAGGTCCCATTTCTCGTCCTCCATCTGTTTTACTTTTGTCTCCCAGCTCTGGTGTCTCCCGGCCAGGTCCATTGTGAACTAATCCCTCAGTTTCCTTTTGTTTTCCTCCACCAGTTTCAGTTTTGTCTCCATCTGTTTTTCTTTTGTCCTGGAGCTCTGGTGTTTCTTGTCCAGGTCATTCGTAAAACCTCTCCTCCATAGTGTTGTATTTTTCTTGCCAAGCTCTTTCTCTTTGGGTGAGTTCAGCGGCTTTGCTGCTCAGCTGGTTTGTGGTCTCTGTGAGTATCATAGAGAGGCTCTTCTTCTCTTAGCTGAGTTCTAGAATTTTAGTGTCCCTCTGGTGGATCTGTTCCTCCACCTCCCGCACCTTCCTCTGGTACTCAGTCTGCAGCATCTCCAGCTCTGTTGTGTCTTGGCCAGGTCTGTTGTAAACTTGTCCTCCAGTTCCCTTTTCTCATCCTCCATCAGTTTTAATGTTGTCACCCTCTTTTTCTTTCGTCTTCCAGCTCTGGTGTTTATCAGCCAGATCTTCTGTAAACTTCTCCTCCAGAGTGCAGTATTTTCTCTGGCAGGCTTCCTTGCTCTAATGGAGTGCTGCTCCTTTGCTCAGCAGCTGGTAAGTGGTCTCTGTGAGCATCTGAGAGATACTCTCCTTCCTCCTGCTGAGAGCCAAGATTTCTGCGTCCCTCTGGTGGAGCTGTGCGTCCATCTTGTTCACCTTCTGCTGATATTCAATCCGCAGCTGGCTCTCGACTACTGCGTTGAACATCTGGTTATTTTGGTCTGCCTCATACTGTGAGACCATCGTGTTGTACTCTTGCTTGCTCAGATGCTGAGCAGCATTCATCTTCTCCTCCTGGAGTTGAAGACTTGGGAGATTGTTGTCTCATGCTTTGAGATGGTCCTGGAGTTCTTTTTGTGTTCAGCATTGAAATTCCTCTTCCTCATTTTAATCTGTGTTTTTCAGGAGGGCCACACATCTGCTATAAAAACACTACTAGAGTTGGGGGCAGATCTCCATGCTCGAGACAAAAAGGGAAGAACTGGTAAGCAGTGTTTCACACTCCATGTTGTGTTTTGCACTTCAGCTGCAGGTGTGAGTGTGGGAAATATTTTTGTTTTTAAAAAATTTAAAACCCCTGAAAATGTGGTTTCAAATCGTAAGTATCTCACTATAACAATAATATTCATAGCGAAACAGGCATGATAAAAGTTAGAAAAGGTTTAGAAAAAGTATGCTTAAATATTATTTAAAGCTATAGTGCATAACTTCTGTCACCTCCCAGCGGATACTGCGTTATTACAACTAATAAGCCACACCGTACACAGAATAACACTCGCCACACACCGTGTACACAGAGTAACACTCGCTTCACACCGTGTACACAGAGTAACACTTGCTTCACACCGTGTACACAATGCTACGCAACGTGGCGAACACCAGGCTGCTAAAATTACATTACGTTCATAGCACCATTTCCAAGAAAATAATAAAGTACTAGGTCCAGTACATGTAACAGCAATACATATTACTCATAATATAATTATAAACTAAGTCACTTACTTTTCCAACAGCAGCAAGGCAACATCCGTGTCTGCCCTCAGCCCAATTTCTTCCTTCAGGGCTCTCCACCGAGGAAAAGCGACGCCAATACAAATCCTTGTTTGCCTTCTCCGTCGGTCACTTTCCTTCTTTGCTAATAGACCTTCAGCCGAACGTCCAGGCTTTTTCTTTGTGGTAGGATCCACTTCTGAACCGTGTCACGGCCGCTTCTCCGCCATGTTGCTTTCTCTTTCTACCTGCGCTCTACCTCTTGCTATGACACTCTCCGCTCTTTCTCCCCCTCCCTTCTGGTTGTGAGGAAGCATTTCCTGTGCGCCAGCGCAGGAATGTCGCCGGTTGACACGCAAACTAAAAATGATATATATTGAAAAATACCGCAAGATGTTAGAGGAGCCGATCAGCTTAATCAGCATTGTGTCATCTCCTCTAGTAGTGGCTTGGGTGAAACGGACATTTACGGACCTGTAGAAGTTACGCACTATAGCTTTAAGAACGGTTAATAGTAGTTCATACTCAGTAAATCTGCTGCATCAGGACTGTGTGGGTGTGGTTTGATCGGATTTGACTGACAGTGCTGGCAACATAAGCAAACAACCCCTCTACTGTGTTCACATGTTGACTCATACGTTGCTACATCCTGATTTGTGCTCAGATGCATGTGACATCACTTTTCGCCAGCTGAGCCATGTCCTCTTAAAACGGGTTGGTTGAAAATGACATGTTCATGTAGGACCCAAGTAGCTCATAGGAAATAGCTGATTTTCAGGGCCTTTAATACCCCCTTTTCCAAGTTAACTGTATTGTCCCCAGATCTAATAAATAAATAAATAAATAAATAAAGTGTTTTTCAAGATTTGGATGTAGAAATTTTCCAGCAGTACTAGAAGGCACCAGCAATAAAAATCTTTCAGATTAAAGGGATAGTGCACCCAAAAATGAAAATTCAGCCATTATCTACTCACCCATATGCCGACGGAGGCCCTGGTGAAGTTTTAGAGTCCTCACATCCCTTGCAGAGATCGGCGGGGGCAGTGGCTAGCACACCTAATGGCTGACGGCGCCCCAGACTAACGTCCAAGAACACAAAATTGAAACCACAAAATTTCTCCAACATGCTCATCCGTAGTGATCCAAGTGTCCTGAAGCCCTGACATAAAAAGTTGTTTCGAAAAACATCATATGAACTCTGTTTTTAGCCTCACTGTAGCCTGTAGCTCTGACTGATTCTCTGTGCTCCGCACTCACGTGTGCGCGCTCAGGGTGATCGGTGATGCACGGTCTCTGAAGAGCAGCAGTCTCGTCAGTACTGATGTCCAGATTCTCAAGTGCAGGCATCGCCAATTCCCAGTCTGAGCAGTAAAGACTTTCCTCATCCATTGGCATTGCTTTGCATTTGAAACAACTACACCACCAGGTTTCCAGTGCTCGACTCCGGTATTTCTGCGGCTGGCTGAGGGTTAGGCTCATAAGCTGCGGCAGCTGCTTCGTCCAGTAGCCTGAGTTCCGCGTCCGTATACTCGGGCTCAAACAAATACAGCCCAACAAAGAAATGGTGTTCCTCCTCAATTTCAGAGTCTTCAGACATGTTGGGCTGTCCTTTGCTAAAAGACTGTAGTGCAAATTATCTTTTAGCTACTGTGGTTACCGTTGTCTCCCCCTGCGGTGCACGTGTCACGTGATGTAAACACGGGTAAGCAAAGCTCATGCTTTCGCTGGTCTCGCGCATGTGAACGTGGAGCACAGAGAAGCAGTCAGAACTACAGGCTACAGTGAGGCTAAAAACAGAGTTCATATGACGTTTTTCCAAACAACTTTTTATGTCAGGGCACTTGGATCACTACGGATGGGCATGTTGGAGATATTTTGTGGTTTCAATTTTGTGTTCTTGGACGTTAGTCTGGGGCGCCGTCAGCCATTAGGTGTGCTAGCCGCTGCCCCCGCCGATCTCCGCAAGGGATGTGAGGACTCTAAAACTTCACCAGGGCCTTCCTCGGCATGAGGGTGAGTAGATAATGGCTGAATTTTCATTTTTGGGTGCACTATGCCTTTAATGTGCGCATTCAGCTGCATTACCAAATGAAAGTAATATAACTCCGACCAAATAAATAAAAGCCTAATTAATGCACAAAGTGTTATTTATGTGTGGACCAGGTAAAGTGTAATGACAGTAAAAAGGAATCATTTTAAAACAAAATACTGTTAAATAATGAAACCAATGGCTGCGTTGAAATGAAGTCAATCTGGAAACGTAAGCTATGCTTTGTCTGAAATATACAGAACTACCAGTATGGTCCCTTACTGCCCTCTTCTCTTCCCAGCTCTTCATATGGCCTGCATCGGGCAGCAAGCTGATGCAGCAAGGACACTCCTGCAGCTCGGACTCAAAGACTCAGAAGACACATCTGGCATAACAGCACGGCAGCATGCCAAGAAACCAGACGTAGTGCGAGCATTCGAATGTGGCTTACTGAAACCAACATAAACATTACCATAGTGATACAGAACACAGATTTGTCTGTAGCATTAATTTAAGTAAAGGAAGGAACCTAAAACATTTAATGTGGTTAAAGCCACTCAGTTAAGGGTTTGAAGATTGCAATAAATCTACTTCACTGTGTTGTGTAGTGTATTCTTGAGTAACAGAATGTTGGGACTTCAGCCACATGACTTGCTTTTAAAGTAATGTTATATTTACATCAGACCTGATTTTGGCAGTGTTTGTGCTAAAATGCCAGCCACTGTGCTGCATGGGGATAAGTATGTTATTTGGAGAACAGCAGTGGGGTTTTGACATGACTGGACGTGCTGAAGATAAGCTCACCTACCTGTGAGACTTTATCTGATTGTATTTTGATATGATCTTGACCCTCTAGCCTGCCAGCAGTTGTAGGGCTGTCCGATGCAAAACAAAACCTCAGCTTTAAATAGTTTCTGCATGTAAATATGTTTGAAATAACTGTATTGAATGTAGTTTTAAGTTCCTCGATAATGTTAGATGTTCACCGTCTTAAAATGTCATGTTGGCTGGCTGTATATCCTGTCCTGTAAAGACTGACTTGGATGAGTAATACGGAGGCCAACTGCATAACCGTCACTGGGTTTACTTAACAGGTGTGTCAGCCATGAATCTAGTCCACTCTGGCACCACAAATAATTAGGAGACTACTTTGCACTACACATCATCACGGTTGCTTTGTTGGTGGAATTCCTCATACGAGATGAATTCTTGCTAAGATAGGCATTTTAATTTTAATAGGTAAATCTTGATTGAGATCAACCATATATTCAACATGCAGGGTGGGAGTTAAAGGGGTAGTTCAAATTTTTTCAAGTGGGTTTGTATGGGGTACTTAGTCATAGAATGTATATTACAAACAGTAGATGTCAGTTGTCACATCCCCAGTTTGGAGAAGCGGGCTGGAATCACACATGGAAGCTAAGCAATCTAATGCTATTGAGGGGTCAGCAACAAAATGTATTTTAGCCACCCCCAAAAAAAAGTCTCACCTAAAAAAATCAATATCAGTTCAAGTGTATGCTATATTGAGAGTAATTTCACTGTTAAATGTCAGACAGTGATTTCCAACGGGAAAATTAAGGTGTCATATCTCTGTTTAAAGCCAGACTCCACTGAGAAAAACAGTGATTTAACATTGAACACAGAAGCTGCTGGTCTGCTAATGCCTCAATCAGCTTGTTTGTGCTACTTTGGCATTTAAAACAGTTAGTTTGGATTCATCAAACACAAAAACACAAACTAACTGATCGTAGACCAGTAGTTCACATGTTAAGCCAGCTAAAATTACTGTTTTTCTCAATGGAGTCTGGTGGCTTTGACGAGAGCAGAGATGGGGAACTGAAGCCGTATCCTGTTGGAATGGGCCGTCTGACGAAAAGGTAAAGTAGTGAAAACAGTCTCAATATAGCATACACTTAAACTGATATTGATTTTTTTTTTTAGGTGGCTAAAATATGTTTTGTTGCTGACCCCCATCCACAGTAACGCATTGCTTAGCTCCTGTGTTGCATTCCATCCTGCTTCTCCAAACTGGGGTTGTGCAGACTGACATCTACTATATGTAGGACACTGATCATACAGCCCATCATACTAAACATACAACAAGGGACTGTTCATTATTTATGAGGGGCGAGGGGAGGTGCACAAATGGGAGGCATGTCAAATATTTCTTAAGCACTGTGAAAGGACTTGTGTTTTTAATTTGGCTGAAAGGGTGGGATAAACAACTTTAAATAGCTGTATTTTGTGTGTTTTTTTTCACAGCAGATTTTTAAAGAATCCATGCCTTCCAAACCCTTGAAGATTAGGAAGGCATGTTTTCTTTCAAATTTACACCATTTATCATAGCCAGAAACACGGACATTATCATTGGCTTTTCAAATATCCGACAGTCCTTGAACACATCACGTGTGACAAATGCTTCCCTTATAAAAACACATATCCAGATATGATCTTAAATTAGGGATAGGTTGTCACAATCACATTATTCTACATTTCTCTTTTAAAATTTGGCCAAAACTTGATCTAACCAGTATGCAAGACGAGTGAAAAACTGAGGCTTTTTCAGGTTTAGAAATTTGTCTTCAACTTTTAACTTTCAAACATCAAAAGGTAATTTATGGAGGAGGGAGGGCCATGCATTTTCTGCTACTCACGCAGGGAGGCTCAAGGAAAAATATTTGAAGAAAACAAAGTCGCATCTCAGCCATCCCCCTCCTCTGACAAGTAAAGAACAATCCCTAATAAGCTATGGCGAGAATTTAATGTTCCTATAGTGAAGACAGTGTCTTTTCCCTCAGGTATTTTTGAAGTTTTCAAACAGACATTTTTGCGCCGCTTCTCATAAGTGATTGACAGCCGTGAAGCCCCGCCCCCAGTCGTGAAGCCCCGCCCCCGAGGCGCCTGACTCTGAACCGCAACCCCTTCTCATTTCCAGCCCTGCGGATCTCCATTTTCTTCTTCCCCGATATTCAGGAGCAGAGGAATAAAGACTTAGAAAAATGAATGAAGAATACGACGTCATCGTCCTGGGCACCGGACTCACGGTGAGAAAGAATCCAACGATGCTGTTCGTAGCGAGGAACTAATTTGCAACCTGTTATCACCGCAGTCGGCGCTTGACAGTTTGGCTTTGAGCTAACTAGGCCTAATCAGCGCAGCTAACGTTAGCACTAAGTAGCTAGCTTAGCCACTAACGGAGGGTGCGCGACTACCTGTTAGTGAATGGAAACTGTGAGCAAAGTGGCTAACACCAACTGCAAATGCTATGAGCGACTGGAAAGATTAACGGTGCCTAAATGTTAACTTATACAAGATAAGTTTAAAGTGTGGTTGGTCATTATTCTGTTGACTATGAAATGTGACATACTTTAGTGAGCCCATTTACTTAAGCGGTTTTTTTTAAGATGGGCGCCAGTCAAGGTAAAGATTATACAAGGATGATTAGTCTGCTAACGTTAGCCGACTTAAAAGCTAACTAATTAGCTTTCTAACAACAGGGTAACGACGTGTCAACTTCACTGAATAATCTTTGGGTGCACGTTGCCCATCAACTTGGATGTTGACAGTCTTAATGTAATTTTATCATAACAAGAAATTTAGCTTGGGAAACCAGTAAAAGAGCTAAGTAACTTAGCTCCCTAACTCGAGCTATCTTACATTTCCGCTCAGCTCCTGTCCGTGCGGTGGACTCAACAGGCTGGGGAAATAAGTCGTCGTCTACTATCTTAACAACTGTCGCAAAGTTAACGACGCCCCAGCACTTTTAATAAGTTAAACGAGAAGAAGCTTGGCGAAAGAACTGACAGGCTGCTTATCCTAAATCACTGGATAACTTCGGACTGGTCACAAACTTTAACAAAATGTTGTTAACCCTTAACTTGAGGTTGGAATCGCTGCGTGGTTTTAACTTGCATGCTAAAAGCCGAAAAGCAGATACACTATGATGTTAGGTGGCAGTTTACAAGCCATTCCCATATGTGTAGGGCTTGTTTACCCGGATATTAACTTTGTCAGCAAATACAATGCCTTTGTCTTTTAGGCAGAAAGATACTTCCTGGCAGGCCTCCTGACTTGCTGTCACTTTTACACAGTTAAAGTATGAAATCGAAATACCGTGATCTACTTCCTGTCAGCTTCAGAGGCTCTTAACTCACGGCAGTTTTTAGACTAGCACACTTTTCAATCCTGACATCACCTGCAGCTCAAAGTTTCTGTAAATTGATATTTATTAATGACAGCAAACTGAGTTACAAAGTGTTTTGCTCCAGGCTCAAAGCAGCCAGAGACAGCAGGGCTGAAGCAGCCAGCAGAAAGGGGACTGGTTAAATTTAGGTGGGCAGGGTGTTGAATTAGCTCACATTTGGGTGTGGTTCCACCAAGACGGAGGAACCGAAAGTACACTGCAAGTACTATTTAAGCTCTGTAAACCAGAGCAAGACTAACTGCCAGCCAGCCAGCCAGCATAAAAAGCATTGCAGAACACTGCCCTGCGTAGTTTCACATGGTTTTACTTCCCTTATTGCAAATCAGTGACTTCACTTCTGTTTATCTGACAGATTCCCTTTTATGTTACAAACAAACAATAGCACGGTCATGATTACTAACTCAACAGATTACGGGAAACTTTAATAATATATACTTTGACATAACTGCAATCGAGAATAAAAACAGTGCTGCTCCAACATACTATGTGTAAGTTATTTAACTCACATTAGCTCACGTCACTAGAGAATGCCCACAGACTTTGTTAATTCCTGTAAATGTGTACTAGTTTTGTATTATTTAAGAAAATATTTTCTGCCTCCAGTGGCACCTTTTTATGTCATTGGGTTAAGTGAGTGGGGGATGGGGTTTCCCATCTGTCCACTACTAATGACACATGAGGGGAGTGGCTTGGCACAAGATATCAAACTGTACCTTGCTGCCGCCTGGTTCACATCATGATGCTCTTGGTGATCCCAAGTAAGCAGCTTGTTGTCTGAAGACAAGAGAAGCCTGTAAGGCACCATTTCAGTAGTTGAGGAGGTTGTGGGTTGAGGAATATTCAAAGACTACAATGATGGTTTTACATAAGTCAGTATATCAGAAATGAGTGGCGGAAAACCGCTAGTGGTAGTGGGGAAATAGTCATGGACAAATCTTTTATTTAGGTACCAAAGGAAAAACTAAAGATTAAAACAAGATAACTTTTGTGTTCCCAAGTAAGAAGTAGTTGCTGCTATCTTTGTGGCTATCAAGGAGGAAATGGTATTAAAGGAGAGGAAATGGAAACAATGAATGCATTCACTCACAATAACGAGGGGGAGGTCATCTCACGTACAAGTTCAAGGCACTGTCAATCAAGTGATGATAAAACAATCACTAGAAATGTAAAAAAAAATCAGATTTACATTACTGATTTTGTATTGATCAAATAGTTCTAGAAATTATTGTCCTAAAGATCAGAATTCCTTTGAAGCGAGTGCGTTCCCATCTCATTTATAAGCTCATCACATGTTTTGCATGTACAATTTTAATCTGCTGTGTAATTAAGAAATGAAAAATCAAAGTGCAGCAAATTCCTGTGACTTGACGCACTTGAAAGTGTGGGGGGGAATTTCAAAGCTAGTACGTCCTGCTGTGATTGTGTCATCTCAAACTGCAAAGACAGCTCTTGTCTTGTGTTGGACTTTGCTGCCTCTCAGCCTCTGATTTTAATGAGCTTAATGTGTTAAAAATTGAACTGGGACTTCGCCTTTGCTCCCGATGTTTTATAGTGGCTTAATTTTCTGCCTGACTGTCCACTGGATCAGTTTGTTTTCCTCTCTGTCAGCATGGCCACTGCTGTCTGGCTGAGGTAGTGATGACTAGGCTGCCTCCGGCTCTCTGTCAAAGCCTGTTTTTATATAAGCAGCAATAGGTTGGCTTCAGTCACATGTCACCAGAAAGGAGTGACAGTGACACATCAGAACTGATGTGAGATTTATGTGTAGCCTGGATGTATGTCCTTCAAGTCAATATCATTGCAAGATCATACATTAGATGAAACCCAGACATTTACAGATAGAAGCGATCTGATTTCACTGGGTCATGTGTTATTTTGGGAAAGCACCTATGCAGATGTAGGGGTGGGTGATATATTGCTTATACTGTATCACAGCTTGTTTCATGTTTGATCTTTAAAATGACTGTTTCACAAACACTGATTATAAATTGTCACGTCATTTTTTTAAGACTCTCAGGGTTGTTTTGGTTCTTTTGCTCTCTCCTATAGCTCTTTCTCTTTCTGAGTGTCACACACAGACTCACAAACATGATACATCACGTGCACTCCTCGACCCAGTCAGACCACTCTCTCCTGAGCAACACTATGAGAGCAGGCGAGGCATGCTTTTGTATCTGTAGAGCTCCAGACTGCAGCTCATTTAGTCATGTTTTGTGATTATGGAGCGCCAGTGCAACCTTTGATTATTATTAAATGAACCGGAGAGCTGTTAGTTTGTTTTCAGCTCAATTAATTGAGTTAATTGAATTAATCCTCATGTTTAAAGGCGCCATTGTAACGGTTTGACTTCCTGCTGATGGCTAACTTTTGATCAGAAGCTTCAAGTTTAAAGCAAAAACATCAACACTTTGGGCAGAGATGAGCTGGATGGTTGTGGTGGTTCAGTGGTGCTGCTTTGATTTATTTCATTTCACGATACTTTATTATAACAGTACTTTATTAATGTAATTTTACCATGACCTCCATCGGTAGCTGCCAATCCTGGTACGTGGACGGGAGATAATGAAATAATGTCCCAGCTGACTTTGGACACACCCTGGACAGATCACCAAACTATCACGGGACTGTCACTTTGTGACACACAACCATTCACACTCACATTCACATTTATGGGCAGTTTAGAGTCACCAGTTAACCTTATCTGCATGTCTTTGACAGCACTTAATTTAACTTTATTATATAACAGTAGTTACTTTTTTTTAATTATTCAAACAGGAGTTTAATACTTAAGCAGTCTACAATAGTTTAGAGGAGATTTTAAAAAAATTGAGATGTATATCATGTATTGTAATATAGCCTAAACATATTCCCGATCTTATTTATAGGCCATATTGCCCATCTCTATGCAGAAGCGAGCTTGGATTTTGGAGGATGTAGAGAAGTGGCTATGTCACTAAGGTTATGAAGGGGGCAATTAGACATTTTGTTAAATTCAGATTGACCATATTTCCAGTAATCCTAAGAGTTAAAGTGTTTTCAGACAATACAAGTTGATTGCATGTTACATTGTGTGTGATTGGTCCCATAAAGTCTCGAGTGCACTTAATTTAGAGCTGCAGGAATTAATTGTGGGGCTACTGCTCTGCCTGTGTCCTGGATTGAAACTAGATGAAGGCTATGAGTAGCACATTTCTTTCGAGCTGCTTTTACAGAAGAGAAAAAGCATAAGTGATACTGTGTTTTTATACGGATGAAGAAGTATGTATAGAAAAAGCAGGAGCCACAAGCACATGACAAATAGAAATGATATGATATAAATGGAAACGAACGGATGAATACAGAGACATGTCAACATGCCATCTCTGCCACTCAGTCTCATGATATGAAAGCAGCAAATCGGTAAGCAAGCTTTGGCAACAGAGCTGGCAGTTGTATGTATCATTTCATAAATCCTCAAAAGAGAAGGGGAGGACATTGCGAAGCCAGTCTTTGGAAGGGAAAAGAGTGCAACACTAACTGGGAATTTTGCAAAGTGAGTTTAATTTGAATGCCGCTTGTCTGGTCACTGTGTTTTTCTCACAAGTTTCAGCTTTCTTCACTTGTCACCTAAGTTTTGGCAAACCTTTTTAATCGGTGTAACTTTCTGCACTCCTCTGTGTACATTAAGTGTGGAGACTACACTTGTGCAATCAAGAATCAGGTTATGGTTTACGTCAAAGAGAGGGTTGTACTTGGTCTGCAGATGTACCCAAAGGACTAACTCAGCAACATTAGGTTTTTGTGGTCAACAGAATTTCTGGTTAGAGGTGTTCCAGCTTTTAACTTTTGTCTTTTGCTTTTGACCTTGAAGTTTCTTGTTTCCGTTGCTCTGTTGTTAATTGTTTTCTCTTCATCCACAATAATGTAATTCAGAATGTGGAAATGGCAGCTTTGATTGAGAGTGATTGATTTGATGAACTCAGGTTTAATTTAAAACGAGGAAGTTATACTGTATGTTGGTTGCTTGCTTGTCATGATTGTATTGACTTCAATAAGACAGCTAACAGGCTTTGTCAATAGTCGAGAGTTAGCCTGTGTTTGATGTAATAGGTGAAGAGTCATACTAAAGAAACAAACTGTACAAACCCTGACACCTCTGTGTAATTACAGGTCAGTCTCTACACTTAGGGATTGAAGGTGACATCATCACCTAGTGAAAGTTATTATGCATCGTTGTTTTTATGCCTCCGCCCTGGTGACAGCTTGCCCAGAGGTGCTATGTTTTCAGGTTGTCCATCCGTCTGTCTGTCCCATTCGTGTGAACATGATATCTCAGGAAGGGAATTTCCTTAAAATTTGGCAAAGACATCCACTTGGACTCAACAGTGAACTGATCAGAACTTGGTCAACAAAGGCTCTAACTCAGGCACTCGCATGCTAATTGTAGCAAAATTTCCCACATATGTCTAAAAGAATGAAATGATGAAACAATGTCATTTTATATCTAAAAGGTCAAAGGTCAACTTCACTGTAACATCATAATGGTGTGCAAAAACTCTTCTGACCATAACCCAACGCTTTATCTCAGGAACAGAAGGAGAGACATTTGGTCAGATACTGAATTGGTGACATTAATCTTGGGTGCCCAGTTTGAAACTGCGTGGGTTGTAAAGATCTTCTGTGCTGCCGGGGGAATATGTGTGTGAAGCATCCATGTTTTAGATTCATAGCTTCTTTGTGGCAACATCCATATTTGAAGCATTGTCTGCTGTCATGGCTACAACTTTGTATCCTGCCTGTCTATGTGGTAGTCCACCACAAGCTCATTGGGTTTTTCTTATATTGAGCTTCAGGTGATTGTTGTTGCACCATGCGACAAAGCTCTCCATCAGTCCTATGTACTCCTCTCTAAAAATAGTCTATTCTCTTAAAGTATTTACAGGAATCATATATATCATATATGAGTTAATATAGTGATAACTTCCATGTCATCAAAAAAATACACTTCATACTTTAAAGTCTTCACTTTAATATGAGTCTGGGTAGACATGGATTTAAGCTTCAACTTGACTGAGTAGTGGAGGCATACAAGGTGAGGTGGTAGTAATTCTTGTCTGGCCAGAGGAACAACTCATACAATGCACCGCCATATTGTAAGCTGTCATTGTAAAACTTGTTTTAAAGTCCACACAGTCACATGATGCACACAGTAATCGCATTATGGCCTTTGGTCTGTGTGAATTCCAGGCTCTAGCAAACATGCATATTTCCCCTCATCATAACCAAAGCTCTGAGACTTATAGCCATGTGAGAGCTGTAATCATCCTCCCAGCTCCACAGAAGCATGTCAGACATTATACTGGTACTGGGTCAGAACAGACTTCTGGGATACACCAATGTCTGGTTATAATCTTGGTTTTGTAAAGCTTGCAAATTGTTTAATATATCACCCCTTCAGACTTTAACTTTTAGGGGTGACCAGGGTTGGTTGGCACACAGGTTTTCTGGTCCTTAGATGATCAAATATCTAAAAGTCACCAACGTTTTTGTTGAGCAAACATTTTAGTTTCATGGTATCAAAAGTAAAGTGGTATGTGGACTAAAAATAAAAACTGTTAGATATAGATGTTGGAAATGTGATTCTCTTAAGTTAATAGACAAAGGATCAGATTCATTTTGATATTTGACAGTCTGTGTCAAGTAATGGTAGCAGCTAATATAATTTCATCACACAGTAGGTCAAATGTGAGTGGGGTTGATTAGCACATGTGTCAACTAATTGTAAATTTAACGGCTGTAATTGGCAGATATTCTATTAGATGTTCACGTTTTCTGGTTCTTGGTTGAACCGAATGTCTTCACTTTTATTTTTTGGTTTCTTCATATTTTTTTGCAACTGAAGCATCTTATCATTTTGCCAACCAACCCCATAATATGTACCAGCCATCCCTGTGATGCGGCTGGTTGGCACAAAAACATGACATATATAACAAATCATCGAATTTTAGCAAAAATGTGTGTACATTAATACATATTTATTTATAGCTGACACCTAACCTTTTAATACTGCTGTGTAGAATATTGCAGGGTTCAACGCTAAGGTTTTTTTTTTCACTTGCCCGGTCGGGCAAGTTGGTCAGAGATCTACTTGCCCGAAGTCAGTTTTTACTTGCCCTATAAAAATTGTTTAATTTAAGCGGCTATCAAATAACAAAGACTGCAGTTATTTTTATGTTATGTAATCTTTATTCACACTGTATTTATTAATTAAAACAACATACGTCATGTATTGTAGCTTAATTCCTACACAAAAATGACAGTGTCAGGGCTTAAAGTGAAAAATTTGTCAATCGTTCTCCGTCTATAATTTTGCGCCCTACTTGAGCCATGCCCACCTCTATTTATTTTTCACCCCTCTCTCCAGTTCTGCTGTATTAACACCGGGTTTAATATATTTTGCTTCCATCTCTCTGCCCTGCTCTACTGTACTTCAACGCTACTTAGCTCTCTCTCTACTCTACCAGTAGACTACCACATCCAGATGTTGCACAAAACGCACACAGCAGTGTTTCCCCTAGGATGGAGTTGTAGCAGCAGAGGTGAAGCACATGCATGAAAAATAATTTTCACATGCGTGAAACTTTTTTGTATGCTTGCAAAGCACAGCCTGCTGGGATGTTTCTATGTATCTACTGGCACCAGAAGGGCTCTTTAGGACTAAGTACATACAGTACATGTGTGCACAGTATGAGCAGGTGAAATGTCTAGCTTACATATGAGGTGTCTCAAGATTTAGGAACATACAATTGTATTGAATATAATAAAGTAAAAAGTCACTTGACATGCTGCTGTTTTGTGCAGCAGGAAGTTGTTATTTACATGACAACGCCTGAACGCAACACAAGCTCTGCATGAGTGCCGTGCTGAGCTGCTGTGCGAGCAGTGTGTTTGTCTGTACGTAACAGCAGTCTGTTGGTTATTTACACACTGTCCATTTCAATAACTTTGTCAGCTGACAAACTGCACCGGGCTCGGGGTCGGGTTTGGTCAGGAAAATGCGTCCCGAGCCGCTCTAGCGTGCTCACCTGTGTGTGTGGCGGAACTCCGCCGTGCGCGATACAGAGAGCAGAGGAGAATTGTTAACGCGTGACCATGTAGAGACAGAAATGACACGATGGCATAACACCATAAATAGTATATTGTTATGTTATATGAAGCGTCAGTCGCGCAAAATAATATCAATGGGGGCTGTGGGCAGGACATTGTTACACAGCTGTGCCTGTGACTTCAGGCAGAGAGACCGCTGCATCAGAGCCAAAGGAGCACGTTTTAAAATACATTTATTTTATCAATTAGTTATTAACTTTTACTATTTTTAGCAACTTGCCTGATCGGGCAAGTGAGTTGTTAGTTTACATGCCCGACCGTGTGTTTTACTTGCCCCGGGCAATCGGGCAGTCCTTATTGTTGAGCCCTGTATTGTAACATAAATCATGCCAGAGAAGCATGGCAGAGAGTGAAAAGTGTGCCAACCAATCCTGGTCTCCCCTACTCAGGTAAAAAAGTAGCCACGCATCAATCTGCATTGATAGTGACCCAGAGTGGAAATCCGAATGAGTCTTTAGAGAACTGGGGTTTTACCTTCAAGCGACTTAAGATGCAGGAAACTCGAGCAGTGACATGTATAACAACATGCATAGCCCATCTGTCAATCCATAACACAAAGTGAATCAAAGAATGTAGGCAGTAGGGCTGTTTATGTCTTTGAGTATGAATCCGTTCTTTGACGTTGGACAGTGTGTAGAGGCTGGAATACCAGGGACATTGCGGTTACCTGATACACCAAAACCATTAATTAGAGGTCCCCCTAATTGTAGGATTATTTTCAACTATTAAACAAACAGCACCATCCTTCAATGTTTACAACCAGTGTGCTGTAATGATACCATATCAATAGGATGTGCTATGTTGGTATTTTTTCACAGCATCCTGTTGGTCTTGGTCTAATTCCTCTTCTGTTTTGTTTTCGCCCCGACAGGAATGCATCTTATCAGGCATCATGTCAGTGAAGGGGAAGAGGGTTCTGCACATGGACCGCAACTCCTACTACGGAGCTGAGAGTGCCTCCATCACGCCCCTTGAGGATGTAAGTTTTAACCTTGCTGGCTCGACTTTGTCATTTGGGATGTCAGATTGATTTGAAAGGTAAAACATATGGACATAAGGAAGCAAGAACTGCTGACTGTGTGTTTGTGATATACAAACATATGAATAGTCACTTTTTGTTTTAAATCTGATAAATGGGAAGAGGTAAATCAGGAAATTGATAGCTGGAGTAACAGGGAGTCTAAAACCAGTAAAAAAGGCTTTTATTCCTTTCTTAAGCCAACAATCTGACAGTGCCGTCTACTTTACAAACCACTTAAGCTGAAGTTCTGGTTCAGGCTGTTGTTGCTCTATGTATCCTCCCAACACAGAAGTCTAGAGGGTTAGAACATGCTAGACAGAGACAGAAAAGAGTGCATGAAAGAGAGAAAGGGGCAAGTTTAAAAAATGAACAGCAGCCAAAACTTAATTTGGCCTGTGTTTTCTTAGTTGCTTATTAAATAAAAATAGAAATTCGCCAACTCCTTAGCAACACTTAGGTAATATCCTCACACAGTTTGTGTACTGCTGAATGCTGAAAGCTGGTGAAGACGGACTGATTACCACTCAATCTGGTAACTGTCTTTACTTGACTAAATCAGTAACCTATGTTATTGTTAGGGGTGTGAGGAATGAGAAATTATGAAAAAAAAATACGCAGGAGCCTATAAAGTTATTTCATTATACATGTTTAGACAATTCATGTACTATTTACATAATTCAAATCATGTTTACCAAATCATATGGATTCCTTGCACGGTACTAATGTGTGGCATAAGGACTGGGAACCTTTGTTCTGCACTATCCACTATCCAACAAGGGCAAACATGCCAAAATAAATCATTTTAAGAAGATGCAGTGTTTTATTTTCTGTTGCCCCTTTATAAAGCTCTTGTACCAACGACTGCTTCTACTTTAAAGTAATCCCCTCTTACTATGATGACCAGGAGTTCGCTGAGAAGACTTAGAGCTCCTAATTTAGCCCAAAAATTACTAGCTAGGATGTCCTAGCTTTGGAGTGCCTTAGGAAAGTTCTCAAAGCATCTCTGAGCTAGGAATCAGGCATGAAAATCACCTTTAGGCAAAATTCGCTGTTTTAAATACAAAATAGGTGATCTACGTGAATCGTGTAGATCTGATGAGATGGGGGGCCTGTGGAGCGAAGCCACAGAAAAAAGACCTGGCAAACATATGCGCGCGGGCATTTCATGAGAGATGTCGTCAGTCTTGTCCAATGGCGGATTGGCCGGTCACCAGGTGGGCCGGTGGGGCTGGCCCGGTGAGACTAGTGAATGTCAAGCTGGTTGCTAGCTGTCAGTGCTGCAATGCGCGTCCCTCCCATGTTGTTTGTTTGCTGTGAGATGTTCAGAGGTAACGTAGGTGTCAATCTTGTGCTTTGATGCTTGAAGGAGGACATAAGAGCGGCCTCCTCCAATACGAAAGAGGCTCTCGTTTTTCTTGAAATCTGATTGGCTCAGCCGCAGTCATCAGTCATTACTCATGACAGACCAGGCTAGTTTGACCGTTAAACAGAAAACATGGATAAAGCCGGTAAAAAAAGAAAGGGTGGCGCGGAAAAAACTTGAATAAAAACACTTAAATCTTTACAAGAAGCGGCAGCAAAATGCTCCAAAATAACCGACCTGTTGGGCCGCGGTGTTGGTCGACGGGCTGAGGCTGCTGGTGTTGCTAGCGACTGAGATGGAGCAGGAGCAGACAGTGCCATTGTAGCAGGTGTATTAACGTTGGCTAACATTTGGGAGTGTGTAATGTGCAAGGTTGATAGGGCTGCTGGATTATGGAAAAAATCACGATTATTTTGGTCAAAATCGAAATCACGATTATGCAAACGATTATGCGGTGCATGTGATGACTTCTATTATTTACATGACGGCATGTCATTTCTGTCTCTACATGGTCGCGCGTTTACAATTCTCCTCTGCTTTCTGTATCGCACATGGTGGCACTCGACCCCAATGTGCGCGCACACACACACAGAGACACGTGCGCACAAACACATGCACACACACACAGACCAACCTCTCTCACTCTCCCTCTGCCATTTTCCACATGCTGTTTTTGAAATCTTCTGCGATCACCTTCCCCTCGCATTATTCGTAGTTCACCTACTTGACTGGCTTGTGGAGTGAATAGAGGAGGGGAGGGGGCAGTATTGCGCATGCACGGCTTCTGGGTGCGTTTGATTTGAAACACAAGACAACGAGAGTAAACTGACAAGAAGCGCATAATCGTTTTATGTCGATTATTTTGTCTTCATAATCGTTGAAAGCCCAAATCATAATCTAGATTAAAATTTGATTTATCGAGCAGCCCTAAAGGTTGACTTTGGCAAATTGCATATCTCTTCTAGGTGTCTGTGTCAAGAGGCCAACTAGCCTACTAGGTATTGCAATAAGTCATTCTAATTTAAACCTGTACTAACAGAAAATATGTGCTTGCTTTTTTCCTGTGGGTGCACGCAATTAACGTTAGGTTGTGCTCCCAGTCCCAAGGACAATGAAGCTGAGGGACAGACTAACCCCAGTCGTGATGAGGAGGAGGAGGATGAGACCAGAAATATGACAGGTGCAATGTGAAGGCATAGTCTACTATGCATTACATTTTAGCCAGAGGAAAACCTTTTTAGTAGTATTAAGTGGGATTTTTTTGTTGTAGTAATAAGTTGATAGAATTGCCCAATTTATACCTCCTTAGTTCATGGCTGTGAGCCATGGAGCAATAAACTGGGGTTATGTAATACAAGAGCAGGACTGGGCAGGGCAGGGCAGACAATTATGTTGTGCATAAAATTAGATGCATTAGGATAGAGTCATATGCTCTTATTTTTAGTTAAATAATAAGCACATAGCCATTTGTGGCCAATTCATTATTGCATTTATTTTATAGTCTGGAATTAAACAATAACTGCTGATTTTCTTATGCAGTTGATTCTGAGGACAGCGTTTGTGGGGTGTGTACAAGCATATAAAGGATTAGAGGTAGAAACGTGTGAGCTGGTGCGCCTGAATGTTCCGGGCTGAATTTGTTTCCCAGTCTGCCCCTGGTCTTGTCTCTTATACAACATATGTGAACATGTAAAGATACTTTATTTGCACTTAATTATACATTCATACTTTTGTGAAATCTTGTAATTCTGCATGTGACCACCACTAGAGTAAATCTAAAAGAAATCAGATATGAGCATTTGGAAGTACATTTTTCCATCAAAAAAACAATCGAGGAGCATAACCCCGGGACCCCCTAGCAGGTGCCGGGTCTCGTATCCTTCTCACCTTTTTCACCCCTGACCCATTTTCATGCCTGAGGAATGCACAGAAGGTGTGGCTGACCCTATTGCTAGGTATGACACATTCTTCTAACAGATGTATTAGCTGTCCTTTCGTAGCCCTCGAGGTATGGACACTCTAGAGGATGTGTGATCACTGATGAAAGGTTGAAACAGACTCATGTCATTGCTGCTGCACTATTGCCTTTTTCCTGTTGCCAGATATATCAGTGTTATCATTACTTTATTTCTGGTGTTATATTGGTATTGTGTTGGGTTGTGAGTCATCTGTCATCCAGTGTTCGGAGAATATTTCTGCTACCTCTTTGTCCTTTCGCTTTATTCTCCTCTGCTTATGAAACTTTTAAGCCTGTTAAAAGTCCTGCTCCAGGCATCTAACAGTGTGTCACCCTAGGAGCCCCCTTAAGGGCTAAGATGCAACTCTTTGTTGTAGGAAGCTTTGTGAATATGGCCCCAGGTTCTTGGCCCAACTAGGGAAGGTAGCAGCTCTTAAACAACATGTGCAATTTGGCTTATGGCAGACGCTTCACCAACAACAATACAAACTTTTTTTGTTAGATTGTCCTTCCTGAAAATGGGGATGATAAACTGCAAAAGGGCCAGCTTTGAGATAGTAAACCACCAGTTTAGCATTGCAGCAGAACCGGTGGTTGCAGTAGTACTCCCCAAGACCTGTAAACAGACTTTGGAGTGTAAAATCACCGTTTGCCTTTAAATGGTCACTCTGCTTTCTGAAATGCTGAAATTAAAAGTTATTGTCTGTGTCTCCCTACAGCTCTACAAGCGCTTCAGCCTTCCGGGCAAACCTCCTGAGTCAATGGGAAAAGGCCGGGACTGGAATGTGGACCTCATCCCTAAATTCCTTATGGCCAACGGTATTACTGATAACTCACCTGTATATCGTGTACAACTTTGTGACTTGAACCTCTGACCTTTTGGTGCAGAGTGCCTGCAAACTAAGTGAAGCTGTGAGCTTCAGCTTGTTGTTAGTGCTGTATATTTCGTGGTTCAAATTATGTTTTATGTTTAAAACTTCCAAGAGTATCTGCAGGAAGCACAGTTAGCACATAATTGCTGCTAACAATATGAATAAAGGATCTAAAATTTCAAGGGTGTGCATATTTGATAAGTTTTTTCATGAAGTAAGCATGAGCCTCATTTTGTGTTTTGGTGAAAGTAATGCTGATGTTGGAATCTTCTTCTTCCCTCAGGTCAGCTGGTGCGCATGCTGCTGATCACAAAGGTGACTCAGTACCTGGATTTCAAAGTGGTGGAGGGCAGCTTTGTGTACAAGGGCAACAGAATCTATAAAGTCCCCTCTACTGAGTCTGAGGCTCTGCAATCTAGTAAGTTGTCTGAGTATGCAGTGGCAAATGACTGAATAGGGATTATAAAAAAGAATGTATGCACAGTTTGAAACCATCAAAGAAATGTTTCTAATTTATATTCTGCATTTGTGTCTTTCTGTGAAAAGTATTTAGTCCTTGTTTTAAATAGTAATGCTATTGGGGTCTAACCCTTAAAGAGGACAAGAAGCAATCAGTCAGGCTAATATGATTTACTAAATGGATTTCCACTCTTACCAACAATTGCATAACAAATATGAAAAATGTAAGCATTTAAAAGAAAAACAAAGCCCTGTTTTATCTTTTGTGGCAAGAGTGCTGCCATGTTGCAGGACTGCCATGCTGTGACGTCACAGGGTTGTCAGCTTGACTGAGTCCAACAGATACAACAGTGGAGACATACAGGACACTATGGAGTTTAACTCTTGGGTCACTATGTCATAATGGACTTAACGTTACTAATGTCCAATATAACTGAAATGTTGTATGTGACACTTACTTTGTTGTTCCCTGAGCTAATGGTACCTATCATGCAGCTCCAAAGAGGGCTCCAATGCAATCGTATCCCCTTCAGAAGCTTTGTAATCCAGCCTTGAACTGCGGTGTCTTTTTGGAGACTTTATAAAGTCATTTCATAATGATGAATCCCACACTGAATGTCTTAAATGTTTAAACTTTTGTCAATATGGACATGCTAAACATCGTTAGCTCAGTTAGATTTTCTATAACTCAATCATTCAGTTCAGTTTACTGAAACCATGAGCACCATAATTCATTCGGATTAAACAGGAGACAAAAAGGTGGTAACTCCCTTCATGTCTGAATATGTGTCCATTCCTCAATTATTTAGTATGTCAATCCTTTAGTCCATAATGGTTCTGTTTATAAAACTTTATCCTATCTGGAATAAACCCTTAATTCACTGCGTTAGATGTAAAAACATGCTGTTTATCCCAACGATCTCTCTCTGCTGTAAATGGCCGGCTGTTTACAGTCCTCCAACACTTGGAGTCACAGTGTCTATCAGCTCAGCTGCCTGCTCCACCAGTAGAGACTGGAGACTTAACTCTGGTGGCACGTGATTTGCACTACATATAGTGCGTTTAACAGAAAATTGAGCACCTAGATTTCTAAAGACCCTGGTATACTGTAATGCTGCTTTTTTCTATGAAGTTTATTGAAGAGTTAATCACTTAAAAGTATATCCCCCTGAGTGGTTTGGATGGTTGACCAAACCTGGAGTGGAGGAGTGGAAATCCATCTTGTGAATCCTGTTAACTTGATTGACATATTCATATACACTTTGATGTATTATATTATTGCATATTTTATATAATTACAAAAGGGTGACTGTGGGTACTGTGTTATGATGATCTCACTTAAAAATGATTGCGGATAAACTTGGCTGAATGTCTGAACATCCAACATCAAACTGTCTCCACTTTTTCACTGTGGTTACATTATCCCAAATGTTGGTATCACAACATGCTGCGTGACATGATGTAAACATAATGTCACTATACATACCAGTCCCTCCAGAAAAACGCGATTATGCGATCGCATAATTCAACGCATAATCAGCCAAAGTCCACATATTCATGCGGGGGCCGCATTTTTCAAAGACGCCACACTTTTGCCGCATAAATCGCCAATTTCCACATAAAATGCGCAAAATATGCGGGGCTTGCATGATTTCATAATCCTCGCATTTTCGTTGCAAGAGGGGTTTTCCTTGTGAATGCTCTCTGTAATGTACAAATAACTGTTGTGTCTTTCTGAGGCTTTCTGTGCTCGTCACTTAATGAGACAGAGCGCGCACTAGGCAGAGTCGGTGTGATGTTTCTTCTCCTCCTGTGGGGAGGAGGGAAGAAACCTTCCAGTGAAATAACTCTCGATCTAAAAGAGCTGGTTTTGATTTTAGGCATGAATGTGGGATTCGGCCTCAGATTAGCTGCGCTCCCGTCATCTCTGATAACGAGACAAGACGGGGAGACTGAAAGTGCACATAAATCACTCACTCTCTTATGAAGTCAGGGCTAAGAGAAATGCTGTCTTTAATGACAGTAGTTTGAGAGAGATTTGTGACAGGGGCTCGAAGGGAGGTTCTCCCAGAGCGTGTAAAACCAGGGGTAAATCCCACTGCGGTGCCAAAGAGCGCATGACAGGTCTCTGTCGCCTGACTCCTTTCAAAAAGCGCTTAACCAGCGGGTGCGCAAAAACGGATCTCTCTCCGTAGCCTTCATGACATACTATATATTTTATTTATTTATTTTTACACAAGTTGTAGCATATTCTAGCTACAGAACTTGTTTGACTCAGCAATGTTTTGTAAGTTTGAGCCATGTGTTTATTAAGGTCTGAAATAAAACAAGATGAGAACTTAAATATTCTCTGCACTTTCTGTGATGTAGTATGCTTGCTTATCATAGGAAGTAATTAGAAATGACTACATTGAAATGATTACATTAAGGTAGCGGCCTAATGAGAACAGGGTGTTGGGGGAATCTTCCCTGGTTCCAGACCATAGACCCCGCCCACTCAACTGAGTAGGCTTGCATTACTGGTCTGGCATACTTCAATGAATTTGCCATTTATCTCGTCCAAACTATGGACGGACCAATGAACGCCGGGGGTCTAGCGATTAGCCAGTCAGCGCCACGCTGATGTCAAGCTGTACGCCGGTGGGTAACTGGTGAGGATAGCAACAATGGCGACCGCTACAGATCCTACAGACCACATTAATGATGCTATCAAGGTATTTCGCCACTACTCGCGTTAATGGAGGACCAAATTAAGGAAGCTGCTAAACTGGATTTAACAGCGATGCAGCTGGGCGTGCACGACGATGGAGACATTTTAAACGGGCAATGCTCGCTTGTTTTCGGCACCCCCGAGGCATGGATACTAATGACGTCAGATTCTGGGTGAGTCGTTGATCTCTACTGATTGGTTAGAGAAAAAATCAAATTCCCTCCCCCTTGTAAATCGCCTTCAATGGAAGCCATGTCAGACTGAAGGTTCTGGGAGCTTCAGTCTGACACTCAGGCTAGGGGGAATCACTTTTTTCCTCTTTTTCATCAAACCCGCAGTTTTTGCAAGTTCCCGCAGTTTTTGCAAGTTCCCGCAATTTTTGCAAGTTCCCGCAATTTCATCGCATGAAATTGCATAAATATCCCACATATTCCATTGCATTTTTTAAGAAAACGTGCCGCATAATCAAGGATTTTTGCCTGCAACAATCACAAAAAAATTCTGGAAGGACTGACATACAAAGTGTTTATGTGGCATCAAATCGCCTCTCAGACATGTTGTGCATCACACTGGCTCATTCACTAGAAGCATGTAGCCTAGTTGGCCATGTGTGCCAGCGAAAAACAAACTTTAGGTACCATTATCGTTAGTAGCTAATGCTAGGATTGAACTAGTAAGTAGTACCAGGGATGCAACATTAACAAAAATGTGCCGATTGGACAACAACTATATGTAAACAAACAACACATGAAAACATAGTTTTCACTGTATGTCATCATATTCCTGTTTCTAGCTAACACTATGTATTTATTTTGTTTACTGCATATTCAGCTAACTTGCCTTACTTACTATTGATAGTGTCGCTAAGCCGCTCCGTACCCCAAACCACAGGGTCCTCCCCAACTTTTTCAAGTTGTAACATTACTACTGTTTGGTTCCCAGTTCCCACACCTTTAAACTAAATCCTCCTCCAAACAAGACTGTGTTCAACTCTACATCCATGCTTCAGTGTTCTCACTGGCAAGGAGAACCAACTAACCTGATGACGTAGGCACCAACGTTGCTCCAAAAGGGCAGTGCACTAGCTAAACAACCTGGTGAAAATTACAAAACAAATTTGTCACATCCATGGTTTTGACCACTTTCTAAGGTTTCTCTAATATATTTACACTACCAGTGCCAAAAGCATGCACATTTCATGTCATCTTCAACACTTTCAGCTGCTGGTTGCATGTAGCATTAATGCTGTAAAACTTTCTTGTCACTCACTTTTCCTTTCAAGCGGGTCCACTCAAAGTCTAAACCCTCTGTCTCCTTCAGGTCTCATGGGAATTTTCGAGAAACGACGCTTCAGAAACTTCCTTCAATACGTTGCCTGCTTTGATGAAAACGACCCCAAAACCTTGTTAGGCACCGACCCACAAAAGACGGATATGAGGTCCGTCTTCCAAAAGTACAACCTTGGCCCAGACGTCATGGACTTCACCGGCCACTCCCTCGCCCTCTACCGTACAGATGAGTGAGTAGTCTTTCTAGCTGTTTGATAAATGTCATTTTTGTAATACCTTAACTGCATGTGATCGGATTGTTTATTTAAGTCTGAAAATGGTCTCCATCTCTTTCCACTCAGATACCTGGATCAACCTTGCCTTGAGACGATAAACAGAATCAAGCTTTACAGTGAGTCTCTGGCTAGATATGGCAAGAGCCCATACCTGTACCCACTGTATGGCCTGGGAGAACTGCCTCAAGGGTTTGCCAGGTAGGGGACTCTTCCTTCTGCACACAACATGTAATATTTCTATGTAGCACTGTGTTATATCTGTGCACTGCAGCATACGTGTAGTTAATTTGCCAAGTAAATAGTGTTCTCATAAGGACTTTTAAATGCTTGAAGCAGTTGCTAAAAATGACAACAGCATCTGAAGTGTTAAATACAGGTGTTTACAACCTAAACATTTCATTTTGTTAACATAGATTTGGTGCTAAATTTAATCATTTTTACCGCTCCAGAATTTGGTCAAAAATAATGGTCAAGAATCCCTCTAAAATACCACATTAGAACAATAATGGACACCACAGAAAAATTTCTGCTGTGATTTGGTATCAAAAACTTTTAATGTTTGAACGTCGTGTCCTCTTGGCTAAAGAGGAAAATGAAAAAAGGTCAAAGCCAGCATCTGTGATGGTATGGAGGTGTGTTAGTGCCCATAGCATTATGGGTAACTTGCACATCTGTGAAGACACCATTAAAGCTGAAAGGTACATACATGGTTTGGACGAACATATGCTGCCGTCCAGATTCCGTCTTTTTCGGGGACGGCCCTGCTTATTCCAACAAGACATTGAGACACATTCTGCAGGTGTCACAACAGCATGGCTTCGTAGTAAAAGAGTTCAGGCACTAGACTGGCCTGCCTGCAGTCCAGACCTGTCTCCCATTGAAAATGTGTGGATGAAGCGCAACTACAGTAACGGAGACCCCAAACTGTTGAGCAACTAAGTCATATCAAGCAAGAATTACAAAGAATTTCACTTTCTACAGTTAGTGTCTTCAGTTCCCTAACGCTTACTGAATCTTGTTAAAAGAATAGGGGAAGTAGCGCTATGGTAAATATGCTCTGGTCCCAACTTTCTTTGGAACATGTTGCAGGCATCAAATTCAGAAAATAAAGTTTATCAGTTTGAACATTAAATATCTTGTCTTTGAACTATATTCAGTTGAATATATGTCAGACAGGATCTGCAGATCTTTGTATTCTGTTTTTATTACTGTCACTATCACTGCCATTCCTTCAGCTGACAGTAGGAAGTAACATCTCACATTGTGTTTCCATTCCAGGCTGAGTGCTATCTACGGTGGGACGTATATGCTGAACAAGCCCATAGAGGAGATCGTGGTGGAGAACGGGAAGGTGGTGGGAGTCAAGTCTGAGGGAGAGGTGAGCCTTTTGCTCTCTTATTTGTTGGATTTCTATGGGAAACATATGACTCTTCTTCAGATATAAAACCTATCCCTTGACCTCTGAACTTTGGCTTCTTGCCAAACACAGATGGCCAGGTGCAAGCAGCTGATCTGCGACCCCAGCTACGTTATGGATCGTGTCACCAAAGTGGGTCAGGTGATTCGAGTCATCTGCATCTTGAATCACCCCATCGCCAACACTAGCGACGCCAACTCTTGCCAGATCATCATCCCCCAAAAGCAGGTCAACAGGAAACATGGTGAGTGCACACCAGAAATGAGCAGAAGACTAATTACTTTATTATCTTATTTAAAATACTTCTTAAAAAATGTCCTTATCGTAACTAAGTACTCTGCGGATGCCTGTGAAAATAAAAATGTTGTATTGCAGATAGGCAGAGGTAAAGGTAAGCTTGAAGTTGAGTAAATAGCAGTCTCGCAACCCATCATCCATTGCTTTCACAATGATTTAGCCTTTTGGGAAATGGCCAATATTTTTGGGGCTCAGGACCAATATCTGGGCCAAGACTTCCTCTTATGTTCGCTGGTCAACAGTCCGATGAGCAACTTGACAATTGGCAATTCCCGACCCCTTGTGATTATCTGTCAAGCTGACAGAGTGAGTATGGAGCCCACACTGTCACTGCTTTTCCTGAAGAAATATTATCAAATTTTTGGAAAAATGGGGTAAAAAAAAGATTGCAGAGAGAAGCAGACAGAGGGGTCTACAGTCTGTGTTTGAATGCATATCACCAGGAAGTCAAATTGCGATTATGGAAAAAATCATAATCACGATTATTTTGGTCAAAATTGAAATCACGATTATGCAAACGATTATGCAGCACACGTGATGACTTATATTGTTTACACGACGGCATGTCATTTCTGTCTCTACATGGTCGCACGTTTACAATTTGCTCTGTATCGCGCGCGGCGGAGTTCGACCCTGATGCGCACACACAAACACAGACCAACCGCTCTCGCTCTCCCTCTGCCATTTTCCACATGCTGTTTTGAAATCTTCGGCGATCACCTGTCCCTCGCATCATTCGTAGTTCACCTACTTGACTGGTTTGTGGAGTGAGAGGAGGGGAGGGGGCGGTATTGTGCATGTGTGGCTTCCGTAGAAGACAAAATAACATCTCCAGGTGTCCCTGACCAAAAATCGTTTACCCTCGATTTCAGTAAATTTGAAATCGTTTGACGTCAAAATCGTAATCAGGATCACCAGACAATTAATTGCACAGCCCTAATGGAAGCTAAAGCCTAACTAAGATCACAGCGTAAAAGTGACTCACTACGTCACTGGCGATCAAAGCAGATGACAGTGAATATAAAGGGAAACTTGGCCAATATTCAACTTGCTGTGTGTCATGGCAGTGTGTGCAAATGAATGGTGTTTGGCTTCCCGTGCCACCAGCACCTGGATCTCCACTGGCCGATGGGCTAGGAGCTCCAGCATGTGTATACATTAGTTGGCTACACCCTCATTGGCTAGCTAGCTAGCTAGGTCCTTGAATTCTAGAGAATTGGACCTGGAACGTCTTCGAAAAGTCCATGAATTTGATGTTTAAGGTGTGGGAACTCTGAATAAAAAGTTACCTCATCATAAGAAAACAGCTGATGGGTTCTGAGATTGCATTTCGGCCAGTGCCTTTCACTTCATTTGTTTGCTACAGGCAGTTAACCTGCAGGCAACCAGAGCCCACTCAAATGTGATTAGTCAGTACTACTTACAACACAAATGGAAACCAGAACACTGCCAATACCAAAATCGTGTCCTGTTGCCTTGAGTTTCTCCATTCATATGCAGATAGAGATTAAGTGAAGAGTTGTATATAATGTGTTGTGTATAATCCAGCGATGGTGAGTCTGAAAATAGAGGTGTTGGTAAACGTATGAGATCCAACGTAACACCTCTATTTGACATTCATATCGTCAGGTTCTACCTAGGACAATGACAATGAATAAACAGTGCACAGACTGCAAAGCTAAACCAAATTAAATATACCTTCTTAATTTTAACAACAGCCAATTAGACAGATAACTTCAACAGAGTGAGTATTTGCACTCGGGTGAGAATAGTCACACTGCAGCTATTCGGCTATTTGCACTCATCCCTACGACATGTTATTATGGATCCCTCTGCATGCTGTGATTGTCTAGTAGGCTACTCATTATGCTGATGTGTCGTGGTTGGAAGCGGTTAGTAACATGTGGTGGGTAAATGGGTTACACACAGCACTTTTACACATCAGATAGAGGTGAGAGTCCTGTGTGAGTCATTTTTTGATATGTATAAAGCTCCTGAGTGCACACTGTGTACATAAACTTTAGCAGAGCAGCTGAAAACCTGTTAACCTGTTAGTGTTAATGTCACATTTCGATGTTGCTAGGATGCCTAGGAATATTTACCCAGGTGAAAATAGCATTGTAGGCTATGGACGCCTGGGTGCTGACTGCATCTGCCCAACATTCAGTAATGATATTTTAACTTACCCACAGGCAGTACCACCAGGCATTAACCTTAAGTTTTTCGTTTCCAGACATCTACGTTTGTATGATCTCCTTCGCTCACAACGTGGCAGCACAAGGTAAATATATCGCCATCATCAGCACCACGGTGGAGACAAACGACCCAGAGAAGGAGATCAAGCCAGCTCTTGACCTGCTGCAGCCCATCGAGCAGAAGTTTGTCAGCATCAGTGACCTGTATGAACCCAGTGACATGGGCACTGACAGCCAGGTAAGAGTAACACAGCATAGTTAACAGTGAACAACATATCCTGTATACTTACTCAGGGTTTGAGCCAGAGCATGCCATTGCTACAGTAACCCTGTTAAAACATAATATTTCCTGTCTCCCTGGACCACCTTAAAATCTAGGGCAGGATTACTGTTGTCAACAAGCTTCTCGTTTTTAGGTTTTATCAGCTGTGTCGGGGTTAATGTTGTATGTTAGCTCAACCGCTGCATTCAGGCTGTACCCTCAGCCAAAGTTGGTTTGATATAGCAGGAAATGCCTCTCATTATAACAGATTAATTTGCCTACCATGGATCTGTTACGTAAGAACATGCCATCTTTACACCACTGTGCTATTTTGCTGCCGTTGTGTGTGATCAGGGAAAGTTATGTCAGCAAAAATGTTCGGCACAGGAAACACTTGTGAGGTCTGGTTCCTTCTGTCTGTAGAAACAACAGTCAGTTGCTATTTTATAGAGAACAGTTGCCATGATACACAGTAATTAATCTCTCTAAAATAGCAACCTGTGCATTTTTGGCCTTTTCACAACTGAAAGTGCGAACCTACACTGTACATTTACTACCGCTTGACAACTTTACTGCTTACTACTTGGATGGTTCGGACTTTTTAATTGAAATATGGTCCGACGACCTCGTGAAAAGTCAATTGGAAAAAAACTCACAAAAACGCTTACGCTCCCTACCCACCTGAAACACAAGGCATTGATGTTAGACCTACACTCGTTTACAAACCAATCAGTATCATGTATGGCGAGGGGCAGTGCACATAGGAGATGATGACAGAAAGTATATCTTGAAAAAGTGTTTGGTGTGCTCTCACTATTGCAATATGAAACCAAACCATCTGGATCAAATGTATACAATTTGACAACAACATGAACTTTGGTTTGGACCAAGTGTGGACTTTCAAGCATGAAAAGGCCCTCTGTCAACAACTTTTATCACTTGACGAAGCCTGCCACATCTTCCTTTAATGGCTTTAATGTTTTCACACCAGAAACAAATCACACTATGGTTCAGTTTGATCAGGACCAAAACCAACTCTTTTAGTTTAGCTGAGGTTCGGCTGTTTGGTCCAGGAGAGCTTTCATCCCTGTAATTTTGGTTCCGATCAAACAGACAACAAGTCCAAAAGTCTGGACCAATTGGCATCATTTAAAAGAATATGTCACCTACAAAATGACCATTTGTATATCAGCTGGTCATGCCATGTTACCTTGAATTTGTGAAACTTTGTTTTCCTTGCATGCCTCCACAGAAAACAGTCAACATATTGATTGATTGATCAGGGACCACATTTAACAACAGCAAAACTATGTCAAAACATCTGTTTACAAACTGACACAACTCGTGTTGTATAATCTAAGTCTTAGTTATTGTCTTGTATTTTCAGCTCTTCCCAAACACGTGCATTTTTGCTAACATTAGTATTTAAAACTGAAATGAAGGTGAAACTTAAGTATTCTCTCTTCAAAGCCAGACTCCAATACTAAGGGGTTTTTTTTAAACAAAAAAAGCATGTTTGCGACGTACTGAATATACGACTGGATAAATGAGAATTATATTCCACAAGTCGTGAGAGAGATTGTAAATAGATGCTGTGATATAGTTCTGCTGCTAAACGTGGTCCCCAATCAATCAATAAATACATATGCCATCTTCTGTGGAAGCATGTGAGAAAATTGTCTTCTTCAAGAGTGTCAGGTAACACAACAAACGGTCATTTTGTGGGTGAAGTATTCCTTTAACAATCACACATATTTGCCCTCGACTGTTCATCTATCTCGAGCTTCCCTGAAAGAATACTTAAAATGAAAGGCCTCTCTGACCTTGTATCTCCTCTAGATCTTCATCTCCAAATCATACGATGCTACAACTCACTTTGAGACCACCTGCGACGACATCAAGGACATCTACAAGAGGATGACGGGCTCAGAATTTGACTTTAATGAGATGGAGCGCAAGAAGCAGGACACCTTCGGTGACGTAGAGTAGACCCGATGCGTCCGCAACACTCCTGATTATCAAAGACAACGCTGCCGACAACTTAAATCTTACAACAAAAAAAAATAGAAAACCCACAGAAACATGTACACACTTACGGGCTCCCTGATGATCCAAGTATATGGTTGGCCCATTAAGGAAGTTAATGATATATAGAGAGATATGATATAGTATTGTTGGGTAGGGTTCTGGGACGGAGCTATGCTTTTTTCAAATCACATTCAGGCGGATGTTGCACTAAACACTGGTTATGCCTAATATACAGTAATAACCCTACATTCTTCCCTTCATCATGTTTAGATGATGCATAGTCCAAAGATGCCAAATCAAATGATAATTAATAATCAACAGTTATCTTTCAGAGTGGATATAAGTGTGTGTGTGGGGGGGCTGACCATTGTTTCTTTTGTTGTATAAAAGGGGGTTGGAAGATAAATAATACCTGTACATCACCTATTGGTCTCAAGTATTTTTTTAATGTCAGGGTGAGAAAGAGGTGGCTTGGCTTTGTGCTTCTTAATTAAATCATTTGAGTACCAGTGTTCCTCCAAGGGTGTGGCGAGCACACTCGGGTCTAGCAACAGCAGACAGCCATGTGACATGGCACCTCAGCCGCCAGCTTATATTGTCAGCCGTTAAAGCGGGTCAGTGATGTTTTTGTGTCTGTTTACCCTCAGCCAGACACACACACTATAAGCCAAGCCACAATGGCGCCTGAAGTCCAGCATAAATACCCAAACCCATTTTCAACAGCTTGCGTTATCATAACACATCAGAGATTTATTAGTTACTGTATCATGCAAAGTGATGGAAGACCTGAGCATTGACAGCACATTAATGGGAACTGTGGTTGACTGTATTCGCTTAAGAAGGACCAAATGTGTACTGCAGCAGTATTGAACTGATGAGAGCCTTGTGATATCGTTTATCTTAAACAACCTTTAAAAAAAAAACCATCTTGGGCTCAAATGATTTCTGTACTGCAAAGTAAAAACGATTTTGTCAAAAACCAAAGCTGTGTTGATCACTTTATTTTTTTTTCTCATATTACAGATAATGTCTGTGTGGAAAATGGTGAATGCGTGCAACAGAACTGAAATACCCTCCAGCTTTTTACTGATGGTGGAGCTAGAGATAAACCATCCCTGAACTGTAGACTGACTTTTTGACAATTGTATGATCTCAGGTCAGTGCAGCCCACAGCATAGCAATCAGCACATTCAGGATAGTTGCATCCAGGGTTTGCATTAGCTGGCATATGGCTGGAATATAATGAGCAAACTGGCCATCAAAATAAAAGTTGAACGTGAACCCTAGTTGCATCATGACATCCAAATTTTTATCTTCAGGGGAGTTGCGGGATGGTTTTAACTATTATTATTGTATCTCTGGGTTTTTAATTTACAATTCATAACACAAATGGCAACATTAATTTTGCAGTTTGAAATTTCTAACTTCCTTGTTATCAAAACATTGACACTTTTTAAATAAATCAGTGCGAGATGATAAGTGTGTGTGGGAATTCACTTTATTCTTTGGATGTGGATCTTCGGGATGATAAATTCCCTTCACCATGGAGGAGACAAAGCATGTGGTTTGCATGTTGCCTTCTGCTCAGTTTGCGATTTCTTCCATCATCTAGAAAAGGTAAACTGTTCAAGGTGGAAAAACTGTTAAAGTCTGATTAAATCCAGTCAGAAACTCAGAAAATGTGCTTTATGTATTTAAATATGATCTGTGATGTAACCTCTCAATAGAATATTTTTTCCAAACTATCTTTATTGATTTTAGCAATAAAAAATAAAGATATACACACATACCGGTATGAGTATATATGTATGCACAGATACTCAAAAAACTGGACACTTGAGCAAACTCTGGTGTGACAGCAACACATGTAATCCACCCCTAACCCCCACCTCAAAGTGGAAAAATAAAATAAATTTAAACCTACAGGTTTAGTATTGTGTCAGAGTGATACACTTCAGTTAAAGTAAATATTAATGTTCAAATGTTTTACAATAATTTAAAAAATCCTTGAGAGATTTCATCATCCCAGAGGTTAATCTATAGCAGATAACAGTGCTTCCATCATGTGGGGATGTCTGTCCTCCCTAAATAACACAACGCATAACGTAAAGGGGCTCCAGATGTTGTGAAAGAGTGATTGATAATCCAGATGGCATATGGAATTTTTTCCAAGGGCAGAGTTGAAGATAATTCAGAAATCCATTTACCCATACTCGACCTACCGACCTTTTTTCATTAAAGAGTGATAACTCTTTTAGCAAATAATAGACCCATTTAATGTGATTATCTGGATATAAGCCTAGTATAAAAAGCTTTGAGGTCAAGAGGTATTTGTATGGATAAAATATTCCTGGATGTCTCTCTTACTGCTTCCCACATCTTTTTGTTATCTGAGTACACTGCCAAAAACAGTGAAAACGTGTACCCTTTTCTGCAATATAGCCTACATAAATCAGGTATGGCACTGTTGTATTTATTTCGCTATTTGTGATTGTGCTTTGGTGCGTGCCCTCCCCCAATCCTTAATGGTGATGCACTCATGTAGGTCTTTCCTCATGCCTTTAGTCTCTTTACAGATGAAGGACTGGAGATTATACTGCAGTAGAATAGTTAAACTTAAGATGCACAGCCAGCACCATGGGCAAAACCTGAAAGGACTTACTTATTTCTTTATTGTCATTGTACAAAGATACAACTAAATTCAGGTGCACTCAAGGACTGGGTTCATGTATAAAATAAGTAATAAGCAGTAATAAAAATCAATAAATGCCTCCATTCCCCTTAAATTCTACACAATATTAAATACACTTAATATGCTCATTGCCAACCTAAGCAGTTAAAATGGGATTAAAAAAGAGATCATGCAAATTATTTCATGAGCTACTTCGATGAGAACTTTTTAATAACGTGTGGGAGGTATTGGCCACTTTTGCTATATGCCAGGGGCCAGTCACAGAGGCCCTGCACAGGTCAGTTGTATTATTTTTTTGATATTTACATTAAATGTTAAAAAATGTAGGCCAGATTTGGCCCACAGGCCATGAGTTGAGTTGCACCTTTAATATGGTTTCTATTTTAATTAAATGATACATGAAATAATGAAGTCTGATATCGTTATGAAATATTACAGATGTCTTATGCATGACTACATGATATCCTTTGTATTACCACAGAGCTGAATTCTCCTGGCAACCTAAATTGGGGAGAATGTGTATGAGTAGCAACCGGTAGCAACACAGGGAATCTCACAACTGTAAACTACGACTCCCACAATGCTCTGCTGCCTCTTCATTCGACACTTGCAGCGTAAGCTTTTGATGTCTTCTTCCTCCGCTGCCGCCTGCTCTGAGAGTTTCACTGGTAAAACATGGAGGTGACAGCAGCCCGCCGGTCGTTTCTGTGCGATATCGGTGAGCGCCGTTAATGTTCACAACAGCTTAACACATACAGCAGATATTAGCTGTCTTAAGAATGTCAAGAATGGCAGTCGGTTCTGTTGACGTCGAGTTAATCATATTAGCTCGTGCTCGTGCCCTGCTCGTGACTGTCACTATTTGTGTCATATGAGAAAGACCTACTGATATATAGCTACATTTACACCACAATAATGTCAGCCTTAACTTTAACATACAAACAAGTGAGTTAAAGTGGGCTAATACAACGGTTTTTTTTAAAATAGTAATTGCATTATAAAAAAATACAAAATTTTGTTGAGGTGAAGAAAGTCTATAAAACACACCTGTTAGGGAATATAAGGTAGTAATAACTTAGCTAATGCTAATACGGCTAGCTACTACCACTACCACTAATGTTACAGCAGTGTTGGGAAGTAACAAGTTGCATGTAATTAAACTACAAAATAAATTTAATTATAATCAGTTACAGTTACTGAGAAAAATTAAATGAGTTACTGTGAATTATAAAGGGGTTTTATTCAAATATATTCTTTTTAGTAAAAAGTTATTATGTAAAATTTAACATTAATTCTGTTGCTTTGAATCTTTTCACAGTGCAGGAATGCTGTCCTTTGTATAGCCCATTTCCGAAAATTTCCCAGTTTTATTTCCCAGTTAAAAACATTTTTTTTGGAACTGTAATCAAGAACGGATCAAATATAATAAGTTACATTACTGTGATGAAGTAATTAGAATAGCTGCATTACTTAATACATTTTTTTAATGGGGTAACTAGTAATCTGTAACCTGTTACATTTTAAAAGTCACCTTCACAACACTGTGTGACAGTTCCTATCATATAATTATTATTATTATTATTTTATTTTTTATTTATTTATTTGTTTTAACCTCTTCCACTCCACCCACTCCTACCATAGACCCATTTTTGTATTTTTTAGAGGGGGCAGGGGGTTTTAAGGTCGAGATAGCAGGCCAACAGTGTATGCCACACAGAAGTGGTATGCGTCACCTAAGAGCTGGGAAACTGAAGATAAATTCAAGGTGCAGCGCAACACTGAGTGTTAAGCTTTTCTAGTCATAAATATGAAATAAATATTGCGCATGGTTTAGGCACCTATTCAAACTTTGAAAGTAAAGTGTATAGGGGCTTACAGCATTATGATGGAAGTGTACGATGGCCATTCCCTTGCTCAATTATGTCTCATTAGTTGTTGCAGCATTATTATTTTTGTTACACAGTTTTGGTGCTAAATTTAAGCATTTTTTACCACTTGAATTGATAAAGACATGTCAAAAATCTCTCCAAAATACAACAATAAAACATTAAGACCTTGAGGAACACCACAGAAAAATGCATGTTGAGATTTGGTATCAAAAACTTTTTGACATTTGGAGATTTCTATAAGAAATGCATTTTTGGTGATTGAGTGACTCCTGAGAAACCCCCTCGTTGTCAGTATACCTATGGAAGCCATACATCCTCTGAATGCTTGAGGTCTCTAATTTGTGGTTGCAAAGTTTTCTGAGGCTGTGATTATCAACAGGCAAAAATAACACATTTTTACCACATGCAAAAAACTGCTTGGTTTTTGACAGAACTGTTAAAAACTAGTAGGTGGGTACCCAAAAAAAACATTTTATGTAGATGAGGTGAGAGGTCAAGAGAACCCTGGAAAATTCCATGCCACTTACTCCCACATTAGCCTAACTTGACAGTGTTATTTAATCCCCTTCCCAACAAGTGAGCATGACATGGTTGGCACCAATGCATTCCCTTGGCCGTCTAGTTTCATATGATACCAGTATTACTCAAGCTTTAAAAGCTTAGCCAGCTACTGCCTCTGAATGATATGTCAGCCGAGGACACTGGCATCCTAGCGGAGTGAAAGGGGTTATGAAGTTAAGTTTTTTTATGAACATGCAAGTATGAAAACAGATAGAGACAGAAAATATTTGTATATTTGTATATATTTATATTATTGTTTAACTGAATTTCAGAAACAAATACAGAAAGTCTTATGAAGTAACTTAGGTGAAATAGCAGCTTCATAAATATCTTTTTAAACTTGGGAGACTTGTGCAAGAATAAATGTGCTGTTAATGTGTCACTGTCTGTGTAAGGTTTCTGGGCAGACCGGACTGCCCTGCATGAAGCAGCTTCCCACGGCAGGACCCTGCAGCTGAAACAGCTGATAGAAAGTGGAGCATCGGTCAACATGGTGACGGTGGACAACATCACTCCGCTCCATGAAGCCTGCATAAAGGCTCATCCCAACTGTGCCCGGCTGCTGCTGGAGGCTGGAGCCCAGGTGGGATAAACCCCAACATGGTCCTACCCCTACTTATAGAGGACCAAACATGACGAAAAAGAGTACTTAAATAAAGTGGGACACCTTATCACAAGCACTTGTATGAAGTGATGCAATGTGATACAGAGTAAATAGTACCTTTGTGGGGTTTGTGAAGCAACCTATGCTCTCAAAAGTTGCCATGGAATTGGGACAGTACCTCTCTTCACATTGCAATAGGTCCTATAAAGTGTAATATATGCCACTAAAATTTTTACTGCAATTTTAAGCTGTATGACAGAAGGGTATGTTGTTTGTGTGGTTGTTCCAGGTGGATGTACGGACCATTCATGGGAGCACACCTTTGTGTCACGCGTGTGCCTCTGGCAGCCTGGAGTGTGCCAAGCTGCTTCTGGAGTACGGAGCCAATGTTAACCCTTCCCTCACTGCTCTCACGGCCTCGCCGCTCCACGAGGCCTGCATACAAGGTAAACCTAAAGCAGTAAGACAGCGTTCAACCCGCCATACCCCGTCAGACCTCCTTGTTATAAGTAAAATTTTACATTCCTCTCAGGTAATGTCGAAGTAGTGAGGTTGATGATAGCCAGCGGTGCCCAGCTGGAGGCTAATGATGTCCACTTTGGTCCACCACTCCACATCGCATGTGCCAAAGGACACATGGACTGTGTCAAGGAGCTGCTCAATGCAGGTCAGCAAGAAAGCTGCAGGTCAGACAGTGTGTTAAGGGATAAATCCATCCTTAAAGGTCCAGTGTGTAGGACTTAGGGCCATCTATTGGGAGAAATGGAGTATAATACTAATACCTTTGATTTATCAAGAAGATAATCAACAGATTCATTGGCAATGAAAATATTTGTTAGTTACAGTCCAACTGGCTATGTGTAAGTTGGGAAGTAGCTTAGCTTGAATGTGGTCAAGGAGTTACACTGTAACTTAGATTTAAGATAAAACTCAAAATGTACTCCTTCCCTTTGCAGGTGTAAGTCATTCCTTATTAACTGTTGTCAAGGGATGTCAGAGGATTCAGGTGTGATTTTATACTGCATTCACTTGAGATGAGAAGCACTTACTTGCTTATAACACAGAGATGTAACTGTTTAAGTACTGACTTTGACTCTTTTCACCAGAAGATGGAAATTTTCTACAGACTTTTAATAATGTTTTACTATTTGTGCCCATATTTATGTGTGATAACAGCTATCCTCGTCCAAGCTAAAAACATCAAAGCCCTGCAGGAGCAATAGAATAATGATAGTTGAATTCTTAGTGAGGTTAGCCTTGATACCAGCTTGATACACAGTCCTGCCAAAGGTCTCACAGTGTGTTGACTAACTTCTGCTCAGCTGCTGCGACACGTTGCATGGCTTGTTTGGGCTATCTCTTGTAATGCGATCCCCTGGTAAACATATAGTAAATGTCTGTTATAATGCTATACTTATTTTAAAAAACAGTGTCAGTGTCTAAAAAAGATGTAGTTAAAGGTTGAGTTATTCTTTCCGGTGCATATCACAAGTTAGGAGTTTGATGAAAAGTCTCTTTTCATATCATCAAAGTAGCCACTGGTCGACATTTTAGTTAGTGCGTAGTGAAATTCAGCTGGCAGAGACCTGAATCTAGTGTTAGATCAGTAATCACTGTAAATACTGGGATCTGTAACATTTTTGCCCAAGTCCCGTCATTGTCGAGCAGTGAGGAAGTGGAGGCAGGGGCTGTTAGTAAAAAAAAGTTCATATTGTAATAAAGAAGAACTCATTTTCCTTGTTTTAAAGGGCACCTATTACACTCATTTTCAGGTTCATACTTGTATCTAAGGTCTCTACCAGAACATGTTCACATGTTTTAATAGTAAAAAAACAATTTATTTTCCTCAAACTGTCTGTGCTGGAGATAGGCTAGCTCTGATTGGTTTGGTCAGTGGAGTCATTGCAGCTGGGGAATGACTGTAATAGGGGAATAGTGGCACTTTTTTTTTTAACATTAAAAAATCACCAATAAAGACTTCTAAACTCAACCGGACATGTTCAAGCAGGAATATGATCAAAAACCGATGATCAAAAATGATCATTACATGTTTCCCTGATGTTAGCATGTAGCTTCATTTAGCAGTGCAGGCTAAATAATGTAAACACTTGCAGTAGTGTGCATGGAACAGATGACCATATAAAAAAATCACTCATACCACGATGTCATATTGTAGCCAGAGTAGAAAACTGTTGTAAATGGAGTTTTCTGAAAGCTAGGAGATGAAAACTTGATGTTTTTGCTTACAGGAATTACCTCTACATTTGTCTACCTCATAATACATACTATTTTGAAACTCTGGCATAATTCGTCACCTTTAAATCCTGATTCATTCGGCGCTATTAGGGTGTATAAACTATTTCTTATTTCATCCTGTATGATTATTACATGTCAGTGCATAATGATAGCTCCAAAGGGAGTCCCTTGCTTATGATTCTCCAAGACTGATGACAAAATTACAACAAAGTCCATGTTTCATATTTACAGGACAAAGAAAAACACACCACCAAGCAAATGAAATGAGGTTAACTGTAACAGCATTGTATGAGGGTGGATTTTACTTTTACAAGCTCTGTCAAAATATTCAGATCATTTATAAATCCAAACCAGCAGGCCTCAGCTTGTCTTACCCTCCTGCAGGTGCCAAGGTGAACTCAGTTCGATTCCATGAGATAGCTCTGCACCACGCAGCACGAGTCGACATGGAGGACATGGTCGAGCTGTTGATGGAGTTTGGAGCCAACGCGTATGCCAGCGACAACCTGGGGAAAAAGCCTGTAGACTACACAGCACCTGGGTCTACCACCTACACCTGCCTCATGTTTTATGAAAGTAAGCTCTGCTTCAGGGAGCTATAAGCAGTCATTTGCTTGTTAATCATGATAACCTGACCTATGGAAACCTCCTTTTGTGGACAGGTAATCCTCTGAGCCTGCAGCAGCTTTGTAGAATCACTGTGAGGACGATGCTCGGTACCAGAGCCTCAGAGGTCATAGGTCACCTGGACGTATCCCACCGCATCCTCAACTACCTGCAGTACTGTGATCATCCTGCATCACTACAGAGTGACGCATGAACGGATGAAGCCTGAATGTGAGACTGGTCATCCTCAAAAAGAAGCATCACGGACAATATTTGCTTATAATTCTTAATATATTAGGTTATTCATTATATTTTTTAATGTATGACATGCGAATTAGGAATTGTGTTGTCATTGCTGCTTTAATATTGTTGTATTGTAAAATAATGTTATGTATTATATAGCATTATATATCCTGACATAGAATAAAGATTCATTGCGTCCTGTAAAGATGATGAAATGGCCTATATGGTGTAAAAACTACAAGTCCCAGCATGCGCTTCGAGTTCCCGGTATGTCACGTGACTCGCCGTTTGTAAACATTACCAGGAGGCGGCTGTTTACAAACACACCGTGACTTTGCGTCTGTTCTGACGTTCTCCACGCGGAGAGAAAAAAAGACATGATGGAAATTGAGAATTCATATCCATATTTCTTTGGAGATATTGGTGAGTTTGAAACCAAGACAACATGGCCGGGGAGACTGTCGCTTTTTCGGACTTGACCCGATTTGAAGCCGGCATGTATGGCAGGAATGTCATAGGGAATGCTAGCGTGCTAGCAAGCGGCTTCCCACGGCATGTTTAGCGGTAGCTAGCTGTTAGCAACAGCTGTAGAAGTGTAACTTGATATTATTGCCATTAGCGTCTGCTCTATTGCTCTTCTGCCTTTTACAGTTGTGTTACAGCAGAAGGTGTATAGATGGATTTTGACAAAATAATGAAGAGTAGTCGGCATAGTGTAGGCCTGTGTTTGTGCCCACTAATAATTTAATTTCGACATTTGTGTCATGATAATATGGTTGAAATCATAGCCCTTAGTCTACAGTTTTTTAAGGAGACATTTATTAGTATTATTTTTAGACATTTAATTGGATTGCGCGCTTTTCTTTAATCTCAGTATTTTCTTAGATGTGATATTAGATTATAATAATTATGATAATACTATACTGAACTACCACTATATTATTTGTATATAATTCATAGAGCAACTTGTGTTAGTTCTGCTAAAAGCAGTTGGCATGAAACAAAACAGTGACAGTACAGTTAGTGTAAAAAGAGAACAGACAGGACAAATAATATGCATCAACTATAAGCACCATAATACAAGAACAACTATTGGTGAAAATATTGGTGACAACACTGAATCATTAATCATCTTTTATACAGTGTGTTCATGTTGTGTCTTCCCCCACAGGCTGCTGGTCAGAGAGAACCGAGGTGCACAAGGCAGCGTGCCAAGGTGAGATCACCCAGCTGAAGCACCTCATCCAAAGTGGAGCTTCGGTCAATGTCGTGGCAGTGGACTCCATCACACCGCTACACGAGGCGTGCCTCCGCGGACAGACCCAGTGTGTCCGGCTGCTGCTGGAAGCTGGAGCTCAGGTGAGCCAGGGAGACAGATGGATGCCTGTCTGCCACCTTATGGGTGACTTTAGCTGAGACAGGTAGCTTTTGGTCTACAGAACAAAAAATAAATGTAGGTAAAAGTAAAATAATAAGGGAAGGCAAAGAAGGGTGTTTGTCTGATAAGGAGAGCAAATGTGATTCCGAAGAGGCTGAAGTATTCTGTATTTAATCCTCTGTCCTTTAATGCATCTCAGGTGGATGCAAGGAATGTTGACGGCAGCACCCCGCTGTGTGATGCCTGTTCAGCTGGTAGTTTGGAGTGTGTCAGACTCTTGCTGGATCATGGCGCCAAGGCCAACCCTGCCCTCACCTCCCGCACGGCATCACCCCTCCACGAGGCCTGCATGGGAGGTGAGTGCTTCTGCTCGCTGCACCTGTCTTTTAGTTTTTGTGAAATCCAGTAATAATTAATTTTTATAAATAAATTTATCTTAGACAACATCTTCTTCTCATATTTCAGGAAACTCAGACTGTGTGAAGCTCCTTATTGCCACAGGCGCTTGTCTGGAGGCATACGACCTTTACTACGGGACCCCGCTGCATGTGGCCTGTGCTAATGAAAACATAGAATGTGTGAAAGAGCTGCTCAATGCAGGTGAGCATCAGTGCAAAGCAGGGTGGGAAAATGTACAAAACCAGATGTGGCATTGCTTTAAATTTGTTTGTATGTGTACCGCTTTCAGATTTGGGAGGTGGTATTTTAATTCTAGCATTTGACTCCAATGCTGGTGTCACTTGAGGATAGGTTAGCTGGCCTGTAATGATACGCCCCTGCTGCCCCACTTTAAACTGCGGTACCAGACACCAAGTACACATGAGGTCATCCCTGCAGTTTTCCATGTTTTAACCTATTAAGCATAAATTGTGTATACTCTCCTAATGATCATTTAGCAAAGCAATTTGTGTAAACTGATTTCCTAACTCTTACCACTATTTTCAGTTTTTTCAGCATCCTGTGAAAATTAGCATGCAGGGAGTTGAAACGTGAATGACCCATAATGCAGCACACAGTGCAAGCACAGACAACTTTGTGAACTCAGCCTTTTACAAAAACTCATTAGTTGCCAAATGTCAGACAAAACAAACCAAATTCACACCTTTCTTTTCATGATGATTTGTTTGTTTGTTTTTGGTGCAAGAATCAAAATTCACTACAAAAACTGTTAAGTTTGTCATGTGAATTCTAATAATAAGTCTGTTTCATAAAAGTTAAAGCTGGGGTAGGCAGGAATCTGGAAGAGGTAGAATTTTAAAATACACCCTCCTCCTGCAGCTCCCCCCTCTCTGTCCTAAGCCCCTCCCACCAGACAACCATGGGACTATCGTCATGCTTCTAGAGTAGTCCAGTGTTACCCAAATGTTTAAAACAAGACACGATAATTAGCAAGCCAGTCACTCCACAGTCCCTCTGCCGTGCTCTATGCCACACAGACTGCTTTGCTGGGAGGAGAATGGAAATGGACCTTCTGGTAGCGGCTGTAGCAGCTCGAATTCAGCCAGCACAAACCCCCCATTGCTGGGTGGCCAGTGCCACCACCAGGGCTAACCAGTACCAGCAGCAACAGAAAGTTTGCTGATCTGGTGGGGAGTCAGAGCTGTCTGGTCCCCTGGCTCTGTGGTTTCAGTTGGCTGGATTGAGCTGCTGCCTGTTCTCCTCCTGGAGAGGTGGTCTGTTGCAGCAGGGAGTGAGGCAGAGGACAAATTGTGATTCAAGGTTCTAGCTTACATTAGCTACATAAATGTAAACTTTGAAGCCACGGTTATGGACCTTTGGCTTTGGTTAGCAGAAGGCTAAAGTATTAGCAACATTTTCTCTCTGTCTCTGTAACACTTTGCAGATATTGACATATTTTGTTTCGTTTATTGTAGACTCTCTTTTAGACTCTCTTGAAGTTGTCCTTTTTCGGGTTGCTTTGCAGTGTAGGCAATTGTTGTCAATGCTGGAATAGCAACGTTCTTTGCAGGATTCTCTGACATTGAGCTAGATTTTCTAAAGCCTGAAAACTGAGCCAAAAGGAGGTGCAGACATCTAGTTTTCTCCTAGACCACTTGAATTACAATATGCTTAAAGTTTATTATATGATTTTTGCCCAATGATCCCAAACGGCCTAACTACAGCCTGCGGCCTTTAAGGGTAAGGTTGGGGATAATATATATTTTTCATCTGGTCAAAAATCTAATGACAGTTTGAGTAAAGTTTGTCCAAACTACATTGACCAGCTGTTCACTAAGGCTTTTAAAAAATTAAACGGTGTATGTGTGACCAGTTTTTAAAGATGTATGCCTTCAAAAACAATCAATGGACTTGGGACTGAAAGCCACTGACAGGGTGGGGAAGTCAGAGAGTACTACGAGACTCAATACTCATCAAGAGATTTGCTGACAGTAAAAAATGTAGACAGCTGACAAATGTCCTCTTCCTATTAGGTGCTAAAGTGAATGCTGCCAGGCTACATGAGATTCCACTACATCATGCTGCTAAAAACAAGCGAGTTGAGATAGTGGAGTTATTGTTGGAGTTCGGGGCCAATGTCTATGCCAGAGATCAGCACAACAGGAAGCCCATCGATTACACCACGCCAGGCTCTCCCACTGCAACCTGCCTGCAGCTTTATGAGAGTAAGTTATTCACAAAAGTCAGGGTTGAGTGGAAAACAAACATGTAGATCTCCCAGTTTGTGGAGTTGCCCTTAATCCTGTACAACAATGTTATGTCAACATAACACCAGCAGATGGCAAGCAAGGACCGCATTTCACTTCCAGGACATTTGACACATGTTGTTTACTGTGATGCTCATATATACCTTCGATCATGTATCGGCTAGCCAATGTAGTAACTGGATCCATATGCAATACTCCTTGATATATATATATATATTATTTTTAATATGTTGTGAACACTTACTTCCATCTTTCTCCTGTCTGCAGCCACCCCCATGACTCTGCAGCAGCTCTGCAGGTTGGCAGTGAGGAAGAAGCTGGGCACCAGAGCTGTAAAGGCCATAAGTCAACTAGACGTACCTAAACTCATTATCAGCTACCTCTGCTATCAGTGAGTCTTACGTGGAGGACAAGTTGGATCAAGGTTTACAGAAACCTAGAAACTCACAGACCTGCTGCATAATTTTAAGAAAAACACAGCAAAGGTGCCACTGCATTAGACATGACAATAGTAGACGCACAGTTTAGCTGCACTTTCAAATGAATAGGAGTATCCTAGCTCCTCTGTTGGAGTTGTTTAGGTGCTGTAAATTATTTCATCGTATTCACACTCACGTTACCCATGGGCTTTATCCAGGTAAAAGAATTACTAAGCAATTTTAGATAACCAGAACTGGAATACCCTTCAGTCTGTGAAATGTAGACACCTTGTGCCATAATCAGACAGCAGGATACCAGTCCAATGATAATTCTCCTGCCTAGTTTGCTCTGTGACACTGGCCTTTAGGAGCGCAGAGCATTCTTCTACTTGAAACATGGCAAAGCGAAAAAGGATGATGTTGTTAATGAGGTCGGTTCCCTGCATGTCCCTCCTGATCAAGTCATGAAAGATGTCACAAGAAAGATCACCACCTGTATCTAACACAAAGCAACAGCAGGGCCAGTAATGATGACAAATGTATGCACATAATTAAATTGATTGATAACCTACATAATTTTACTTTTACTGTATTAATGTAAATATACTGTTTGGATTTGGACACTTAATGCTGGGGTAGGCAGTTTTGCTTCATTAGGCAAAAATCCTATAAAAAGTATATTGTAATCCAAGAGGTCTGGGAGAAAACCAGACTCCGACACCTCCTCTTGGCTCTGTTTTCAGGCTTTAGGAAATCTAGGCTGTGATGGGAGACTTTGCAGATGTATATCCCTTAAGATGGTGAAAGCCTGTTTCAGTGGCAGAGAATCCTGCAAAAAAGTCGCTATTCAACCTGCAAAGCAAACCCAAGAAGGAAGACAGATTTATCGAAAAGAGAGGCTAAAAAAGACTCGGACAATAAATGAAACAAAACCTGTGTCATTATCCGCAAAACGTTTTAGGGATGGATTGAAAATGTTGCTGATACTTGAGTCTTCTTTTTACCAGAGCCAAAAGCTCATGGCTGCTTCAAGTTCAGGTTTATATAGCTAACAATGGCTAAAGCCTTGAATCACAGTGTGTCCTCCGCCTTACTGCTACAGACCACCTTGCTGGGAGGAGAATGGGCAGCAGCTCCAGGGACAGAACCCCAGTCCGTGGCTGCAACAGTGTGCAAACGGGCAGTGCAGACCCACAGCCCCGACAACCCACAAGAGCAGCAGTGCTGGTAGTTTTCACTGGCCGAATTCGAGCTGCTACAGCTGCAGACCAAAGGTCTGTCTATCGAACTCCTGCCAACTATCCTCCCGGATAAGCAGTCCACAATGGCGGGGAGCGAGGCGGAGAGTCAGTATCTAGCTAAATTCTGTCTCATTTGTGGTTTGATATAGAAATAGAGAGAGCAGTGTAATGAGGGGCTGAGTGAGTGAGCTGCGTGCAGCTCTACAGTGACATGAGATTAAATAAATCAATGTATGGGAAACACTGGGTTACAGTATGAAGCACATGCATATACCTGTGGTTGTCTGGTGGGAGGGGCTTAGGAAAAAGATGGGGGAGCTGCAGGAGGAGGGTGTATTGTTTTGTTTTGTTTTTTGCTTTTTCCAGATTCTGCCTACCCCAACTTGAACCTGCTGACAGGAAATAACAACCTATGAATAGAGAGCCAAATTGTTTCCCCAACAGAAGCCTATTGTGGAAAAAGCTGCACTCACCTTTTCTCCATTTGGCTTCCTTTATTATAAACTATCACAGTCGCTAGCTGGGGTTGATAAACATGAGCACACTTTGTGAAGGTTATATTTGTTAAGTATTTCTTAATGGAGGTTCCAGTGTGTCATCCTGCAGCTATTAATGTCTTAAATAGAATTTAAACAAAAAGTTAAGAACTTGCACTACCTGAGGAGAGTGTGTTTCTAATATTAGATTTTTAATGTGTTTTTATTTGAATTAGAGGATAAGTGTCAGAGCTCAGGGAGAGGAAGAAGTCAAATGGCACAGTTTTTGGCAATGAAGGAAACTTCAGTCATCATTCTTCTGCTCAACTAAAGGTTGCTGGATTTGCTGGGAAAGTGCATGCATGTCACAAAACTTGCATGTGTACTGTAAATGCTGAGTAGCGGTTAAAATGTGAAATGAGTCATTGCGTGCATGCTCAGTCAACATTCCCTGGATAACAAAAGGCTGTTTCTTTTAAAAATGGAACCGGGCAGCGCCGTTGTCACAGCAGCACTCAGATTGACACTCTCCAGATGCTACTTCTCTTCATTTCAGATTCCCATGATTCACACCCCATGCTTAGCGACAGCCTTTGTTTCATACAGACACTGAAGTTCCAAGGAGACAGAGATCCTGGCTGCCTATTTATAGCTGCGTGTCTGATGCTCCACTAAATCTGTTCGTAGAAAGGACCCAGAGATCACGCTGAGGTCTTAGTGTCTTTAGAAGGAGGGGCAAGCTGTTTATGAATTCCATGAAGTGCTTTAGATTGTTTTATTGGCTCTCTTCTAAGTTGACATGACCTATTTGTGAAGTCTTATAACTTATCCATGTAGGTCGAATTAGGCCAGACACCCACTTTTAGATTTTGTTGGCAGGCTTCATATAATTTACTCCCTGACACCAAAACACTGGCAGATAACTAAGTGTAACTTAAGTATTTTACAACCTGAACCCTATTTTCACGTGTTTTTGTGTCTAAATGACCAATGAGAACAACAATTTTTCGAAAATGGTCAGGCATTGAGTAAGAGCGCTGAAGCCGGCAGCTGCGAAACAGGTTGCAATATCGCACTGTCATTATACGTTCACTAAAAGTCCCTTCTTTTTATCACTGACAGACTCAAATTGTTGTTTGAAGTGTCTGACATTATGAAAATGATCCCTACAGAGAAAGAAAACCTTTGTTTTTACCTTTCCCTTTCCAGTATGTTTGTTTGTCTTCCCACAAAAACGTAACTGCTGAGACTTCAAAGCGAGACGTCTCCTTCAGTGACACTTGGTTAGACACAATAATCAAGCAGTAATTAAAGAAAATGTTTTATTATTATGTTATCAGACACTTAAAATAAAAAATCTGAGCCTGTCAGTGGCAAAAACAAGCACTTTTAGTGGACATACATTTATGGCCTACTATTTTGAGGTTGCCTTCTGTTGTGCTCTCACTCAACACTAGACCAGTTTGAAAAATGTGTCATTTCCATTAGTCGCAAACAGGGTCCAGGTTGAAAAATACATAGGATTCCCTTTAAAGACATGTGCCAGCACAGGATAAAGTTTGGGAATACACTTGATTGATATCAACAGACCAAGAAATCAAATTGTTTGGTTGCATTTTCTCGGCCTTCTCCTTTTTTTTTTTTTTGCCCTCACCGATGATCTTAACTTTAGCTGCTGCTGTTGTCACCTCAGAAACACATTCCATCTTTAACAGAGAACTTAATTCTAAGTACTTCAGGATATTCTGGCTTTGCTCATGTGAAAGCTGCATTAGACCAGAATTTTACATGAAAAATAATAGCCTCACTAAACTATGTTTTTACATAGTGGAACCCAACCAAAGCTGGTTCTGATTTTGAGAATTTAACAAAACATAAGATAACAATATATCGACTGAAACTAGCTTTTTAAAACCTGTAATATAATGGGCACATTATTTCTAAACTACCTCTATTTTTGGCATGGCTGTTCTACAATTTCTTGTTATATATTGACCAACATACCACTAATATGTGCTATAAGCTAATTATAATCAGCCCGGTCAGGATCTAATTATCATAGCATGGTAAGCAGTTGACAATGTACAGTTATGCAGTGTAAATTAGGATTAACCATGTAAAAACAGTGGTATAGTTCTTCAGTCCTCAATCTGAATCACAAACTGCAAAATAGCACTGAGCAAATGATGTGTCCACAAACAACAAAACTCTCCATCTTAAGATTTTTTTTCTTTTTTTCCCCCCTTAGTATGAAGTAGAAAACCCAGTCCACGTGCAGTTTGCTGAGTTCACCCTTCAGGATTTTGGGGTGTTTTTAAGTTCACAGTTTTTAAATCATTTGCATCTATGCGGAGCTGCCAGCGGGCATCGCTACCATACCTTGATCTTCGAAGAGCACAAGGCCATCTGTCAGCTCTCATGGAGGTCTGCACCTGTGTGTTTACTGTTTGTCCGACAGACTTTCACAAAGAATTCAAAAGCAATATATCATGCCTTCAGACCCTCATCCAAATCTCTCTTTTCACTCCCTCATTTCGCTCTTTCTCCCTAAACGTGCCTGGGCTGCACAATGCTGGCCCGAATAAGAAGTTTGTCTGCTGCACTCCATAAATATGCCAAGCTGTTAAGGTTTGTTTAATCAAAATATAAATTCCCAGAAACTAATCTTCCATCATTACAAGATATTTTGACTGGTTTTCATGCTGCAAAAATGCAGGCCGGTACAGTATAATCTTAGGCTGTAAATAATGCTGAAGCACTGCATAGATCTCTCTTCTCCTTCCCATGGAGCGTTCCCTTTAAGACTCAAAATATCCAAGCCTGATATAGACAAGGTTTCTACTTAAGGCTCCTCAGCAGCACAAGGGACTGGAAAAAACAGGCATGCAGAGAATGTCCAGTTATCTAAGATGAGAAATGGTCCTTGCTCCAAAATAGGAATGTTGAACTTCAGGTTGAACAACAGAGCCGTTGGTTTGTTTTGAAACATTCCTCCCGGTTCATCAGGTTAAACGACACCGGCCATCCCCTCTGTTTAAGTGTTGTCGTATTAATGTGAATAAAGTCAGGTTTAATCTGCTCCGATGTTGGAAACACGCTGATTTATCTGTTGAAGGTGCTACAGAAAAACTGATGAATCATCCCACAAAAATGTGTCAAGAATATTTATCTTATTAAGCTGTACAGAAGTGTTGCTCTGAATATGATGAATATATGTTGATTTATTGAATAAACTGTACTGTTGACGTGTGTGTTGTCCTCATGTTTTTCCCTGAATCTGACTTCATATATAATTCTGGACTGTATGTCCTCATGGTGGCATCTGTCTGTCCTCTGCCAACATATTCTTGTAAATGCAAACTAAGAACAGTACATGACAACACAGCTTCACCTTTTGCAGGAGTGCTGTCATGCAAATACAAGCCACAATATCACACATACATAAGTCTTCCCTTCACTGATCTGACAGCAGTAAACGTAAAGTACGAAGATGGCTAATATGCCACACTAAACTAAATGAAAATGTGTATAAAATTATGTATTGTAATTTAACAATTTAAAAACATTTTAAAATGGAAAGAGGTGAGTAGAATAAATCCTTTTGGCCTGACATAGTACTATAACTGTCCCCTTAATACATATTGTGTCCATGTCTAATAAGTGTTTTTCCAAACCTCGAGCAGCAGAGTAGTAAAGACATAAATCATAAAAGAATGCTGTCTGACCCTGCGTTAAACCAGCTGATATCTAGTTTAAATGGTGATAAGTTTCACAACCATAAGTTATTTAAAGGACAGGCTCATTTGTTAAAATCTGAGACTAATTCTTTATCATATTGTATCAGAATAATAAATTATTTAGTAGATAAAAAGCCAAGCTGTATCCTCAACTCCCCTCGCCCCCAACCCACCCATAAGTATGTGGTACAGCGTGTTATTGTTGTACAGACCTAAATTACATTTAAAGCTGTATTAAGTATTGTTTTGGCCACTTAGGGGCAGCAGTGCGGCCCCACTGTACAATCAGGAAATGCTACATACACACACACACATATATGTATATATGGTCAGTTGCTTATTTATCTTTATCAATTTATCTATATCTATCAAACTAGTCCATACCCATTGGTAGCTTTGTCACCTTCTGCCAATCCTCAATGCCTATGTTCAGTTTCACATAGAGTGACCACGTCAGTGAGTAGAAAAACATGGGACTGACAGAATGACACACTGACAGTTTCCGTGATTATGTACAGCATACCATACCATGACTTAGTCATACCAAAAATTAGAAAAAAACCCAACAAAATTCGGCCACAGGAGGAGCCACAGCGATTGGTTGCATTTTAGCCATTTTTAAGCCCTTTTCTGTTGTTATAGCGCCACCCAGTTGCCAATTAGAGTTACATTTCTCCAGTCACCTTGAGGCATCCTGTTCTACATATCTACCAAGTTTAGTAAAAATCAATATGGCGGTTAGGCCTAGATAAGAAATTAACTATCTAATGCCCCCATTTTGTTTGATGGGGTCAATAATGGAGGGGTCCCCTCAGATTATGTGTGGTCATATGCCTACCAAGTTGCGTGGTGATCGTTGAAACCCTTGAGATGTTATACATCTTTATGTGATGAGCCTTGCCCTCTGCAATATTCATTGCTTTATAGAAGCTCAGTTTTAGTAAGTTTTCCAACTTTTGCCAAGAGGGAACTTTAGATATTGGTCCCTAGATTATGTTCACCAAGTTTCATGCAGATCGGTCAAACTTCCTAGGAAGAGATCGATTTCAAATGTTTTTCAAAAAATTCAAAATGGCGGAAAATCTATATAATCAGAGGTTATGGGTTCTTGGGGCAAATTTGTTCCTCATGAGGAGAGGCATCTCTGTGCCAAGTTTCATGTCTCTACAACATACGGGGCATGAGATATGCCCATTCAAAGTTTGCAATTTCAATTGGTTGCTATAGCGCCCCCCTTTGGCCAATTGATGTAATATTGCTTTCAAAGCGAGGATATTTCTACTCCATTCATTAAAAGCATTTTTGCAGCCACTCTAAACAAGGTCATGGTTATGCAGTATTTGATGATCTATATTCAATTATAATCTGGAGCCAAACTGTGAGACTGTTACTAATAATATGTTCAAGTTTAAATTTGACTGATCTAAAATGGATATTTGCATGCAAAAGACCCTGAAACCCTGCTTTCAAGCTCCTTCAGGGGATGTTTAAAGGACCTTTTTCATTTTTTCCTATTATGAACAATGAAGTGCTACTACATGAAGACATATTAGAGTTAAAAGTTAGAATTTTGAGATTAGTTTTGGTTATTTCACATAAGATATCACTGTTGTTGTGTTTTGATTCACATCTTCCAACTGATTTGAAGACCTCAGCTGGGAGAAGGTGACTTCTACTGTAGCACCAACCAGAATTTAGCACGTTTGAGGCTGTGTTGACGGTTGTGGAGCTGTTTGTTACCAGGGCCCTGTCACTTAAATGTGATCAAACCAAACCCACATAGACCTGATGACGCAGATTAGCTGTGTTGGTGAGCGTAGAAAGCTAAAGGCGTTGTTTCAAAACTTTAACTTCGATTTTTACTTATTCAGTCATGAATATTTAATGTAATTAAGAAGTTTCTAAGTTTTTAGAAGCTTTAAAGTAAATTTTCAACCCAGTCACCTGAGTAAATGTTGGCATTGTATATTTTTGCAAATCATGGATATGTTCCATTTGTACGTTTCATATGTAGCAGATATGTTAAAACTTTACATTTCAGTTTTCAACTTTATGTTGGGACAACGCTGTGGTCAATGTGTGGTTAGGTTTGGCACAAAAGCCACTTGGTTAGGTTTAGGAGAACATGATGGACGCTGCTGTCTGGCAGCCATTTTGCCTTTATCACACCATCCACCGCCTGACGAGAAACTCAGTTCATTTTTGTGTTATTTGAGCTTTAACATAAGTGCGACATGTACACATATAACATATCTGTGGTTTGCAGAAACGCACAATGCCAACATTTTATGCTAGTGACAGGGCTGGAATTTTGGGGTCAGTAGGGTTCATGAAGTTACAGTAAACTAGTAGGGAGCCATAGCAAATATATTGTCACATGTGTAGTATTAAAGTGTGTAAAAAAATATGTGACTGTGTGAGACCCCCTGAAGTCCTTGTTTGTTCTATACATGCCTTTCAGAATTTTAGTGTAAAATTTAAGTCAAATACATCAAACCGGGATATTTTCTCAAATGACCTGTGAATCTGACAACATTATTTTCAGCTGAAATGGTGCCAGTTTCCCTGAGTTTGCCTACCATGGAAAGTACAGTATCTCCAACATTAAGCTCAGTTGGACTCATTAGCCACTGGGGTGCGCCATAGATAAAGGAATCATTGGTCAACCAAATGCTGGTAGTGTTAGTGAGGTGACAATCGAATGTGTTTTCCAGTCAGCATGTGTTCAGGCCCACAGGGCAAAGAGCAAATACACTCCTGTAACTGTGGTCACTCTCCAGCTTGTGGTTAATTAATCTGGCCCTGTTGATTTACTTGGATTTGTCAGAAAACACAGCTCTCCCAGTCCCATGAGAAACAGATCTTCCTCGTTGCACTGTAAACAGAAGGGGGGAATCACGTCTTGGCAGTAAAGGAGGAGAGGAGGAAAAAGATTGGGAGAGTAGATTGTGGATTTGAGGCGCTAAGCAGACAGGAACTGGGAGGCTTTTGTTTGAGAATCAGATAAACAGAGAGCTGGATGCTGTGATGGTCCAATGCTACGCTTCCCCATCAGACACTGCAGCCTAAAAATCACCACCC